TAACATATATATGTGAATAATATGAAACAGTGTGTTTTTTATTACACTACTTGAGGGTGATAATGCTCCTGCCCCCAAAAAGAGCCATAGACTTCTGGCCTAGAACTTTTTTTTTTTCGAGACAGGGTTTCTCTGTGGCTTTGGAGGCTGTCCTGGAACTCGCTTGGTAGTCCAGGCTGGTCTTGAACTCACAGAGATCCGCCTGCCTCTGCCTCCCGAGTGCTGGGATTAAAGGCGTGCGCCACCAACGCCCGGCGGCCTAGAACTTTCTTTTTTTTATTTTCCAGTTTAAATTTAGATAAGAAACAAGGTTGCTTCACAAGTCAGTTCCAGGTCCCTCTCCCTTTCCCTCCCCTCCTCCCGTGCCCTCCCCCTAACCCCCCCATTATCCCCTCATTTCCCCAGGGAGGGTGAGGCCCTCCATGGGGGTGTCCATAGTCTGTCATTTCATCCAGGGCAGGGCCTAGACCCTCCCCCAAGAGTTCAGGGTGAGAGTGCATCTCACATTGTTGGATGGGAGTCCAAAGTCCGTGTGTATACTTGGGATGGGTACTGATCTGCTGCCCAAGGCTCAATAGATTACCTAGGCCTCCTCACTGACACCCAGATTCAGGGGGTCTTGATCAGTCCCATGCTGGATTCCCAGGCTGATGCCTGGGATTCAAGAGTTAACCTTTGTCTGGGAAGAAGAGGCAGACTCCCTTGGTTAAGTACTGAGCTGAACTCAAGAAAGCCAGTAACAGAGAGGGAGGACTGATGATCAAAGAGATTAAGACTGGGCTGGTTTAACCCCCAGAAACGGCCTAGAACTTTCTATGTAGAGTAGGCTAGCCTAGAGAACTTGCTCTTATCCTTCTGCTGCCTCCCAGGTACTGTGATTACAGGCTTGTGACACCATGCTCCATTCCTTTTATGTTTTATTCTTTTTTTTTTTTTTTGGTTTTACGAGACAGGGTTTCTCTGTTTTGGAGGCTGTCGGTCCAGCCTGGCCTCGAACTCACAGAGATCCGCCTGCCTCTGCCTCCCGAGTGCTGGGATTAAAGGCGTGCGCCACCAACGCCCAGCTATGTTTTATTCTTAATATCATTCTTTTCTTTGGGCATGCATAGTTACTCTGATTTTTGTTATTAATGATAATAATAATTTAAATACATGATCTTGTGCTGTCTAACTCAGACTAGTCTGAAACTCACTTTTGTAACACAAATTGTTCTCCAACTGGAATCCTCCTGCCTGAGCATCTAAGATGCTGGGTTTGCAGAAGTGTGCCTCCACAAACTGCTCATCTGATGTTTTCATAACTGTATGTTAGAAATGTTGCAGCATCATGTTGTGACGGCATGAGCACCTGTAAACTTTGTGTAAAATGATGTTCACAACAGCTATCAGTCTGCTTCCCTTGTTTGGAATCAAGTTTTCATGATCTAGCCATTGCAGCTGGATACTAACGAATCTATTATACAAGTTAGCCATACTGGTTTACCCTGTGAATTGACTGTTTAACCCTTGTCCATCTTTTCTTTTTCTTTTTTCTTTTTTTGGTTTTTCGAGACAGGGTTTCTCTGTGGCTTTGGAGGCTGTCCTGGAACTCGCTTGGTAGTCCAGGCTGGTCTCGAACTCACAGAGATCCGCCTGCTTCTGCCTCCCGAGTGCTGGGATTAAAGGCGTGCGCCACCAACGCCCGGCTGTCCATCTTTTCATTTGGGTATTTGCATCTTCTTTTGCTTTCTGGAAGTGTTTTGAATTCTAGATAACTCATTGAGTTTGAATGCTACAAATATTTTACCTCATTAGTTAAACTTTATTAAAATTTGCAAAAAATTTTAAAAATATTTTTTGAGACAGTGCCGTGGCTGTCCTGGAACTCACTATGTAGTCCTGGCTGGGCTTGAACTCATAGAAATCTGCTTGTGCCTGCTTTGAGTGCTGGGATTAAAAGATTAAATGTGTACATCACCCAAGCATGTTTTCTTTTCTTTTTTTAAGGTTTATTTATTTGTTATATATACAGTGTTCTGTCTGCATGTATCCCTGCAGGCCAAAAGAGGGGCACCAAATCTCATTACAGATGTGGTTGCTAGAAATTGAACTCAGGACCTCTGGAAGAGCAGTCAGTACTTTTTTTTTTTTTTTTTTGCTTTTTTGAGACAGGGTTTCTCTGTATTGTTTTTGGAGGCTGTTCTGGAACTCACTCCGCAGACCAGGCTGGCCTTGAACTCACAGAGATCTGCCTGCCTCTGCCTCCTGAGTGCTGGGATTAAAGGCTTGCAGCAACAACACCCGGCTAACAGCCAGTGCTCTTAACCTCTGAGCCATCTCTCCAGCCCCCAAGTCTGTTTTCTTAATCTGTATAGCAAGATTCCATTTTGTTGTTGTTGTTGTTTTGTTTTTTGTTTTCTCCTTTTTTTCTGAGACAAGGTTTCTGTGTGTAGCCCTGGCTGTCCTGGAACTAACTCTATAGACCAGGCTGGCCTTGAACTCAGAGATCTTCCTGCCTCTGCCTCCTGAGTTTAAATAAAGCAACTAGGGGGAATAGATGGGAGATTTGGAAGGGGAAAGGACAAAGGGAAAATGATGGCATTGTATTCTCAAAAAATAAAAACTGGCTTTATAAAAATAAAGGAACAAAAATTTACTCACTAGGCCCCACTGTCCTCCATATTTTCCTTTATGTTTACAGATTCATTTTCACTGTCTGTTTTTTGAGACAAATATCCATGGAGCCCAGGCTCAAGCTCCATATGTAGTTCAGGATAACTTTGAATGTCTCATTCTATTGTTTCCACGGCTCAGGTATACCACCATGTCCAGTTTCTCTTAAACATGTTCTCTGTATATGAAGGCCTCAAAATGTTTATCATCCCATCTCCAGTTCCCGTGTACTGAGATTAGAGGCACCCATCAACGTGCTCAGCTCCCCAAGGATTTGTGAAGCCGTTTTAATGCCACATCAAATTCTGATATGTGGACTTAGTTCTGAGCTCTTGAATCCTTTTCCACCAGTTGGACACTTATTTTTACTACTGTATCTTCTGTTAAAGCTTAATATCTGGAGTGAGTCACCTCTCAGAATGTTTATTATTTTCCTTCTGTGGCATTGAGGACGGAATTCAGGGCCTCTCACGTGCTAAGCATGTGTTTGAACCCTGAGCTACTTGTCAGTTTTGCACACTTCTCTCACGTGATCTTAAGGATTAGTACCTCCCATATTGGTCCATTTTACAATGTTTTTAAATCTCACATCCTCAAATCCAACTGTATATTAATTAAAATTACATTTAAATTAAACATTAATTTAAAATTGATGCCAAAAGAGGACCTTAGATTCTTGGAACTGGAGTTACAGATCATTATGAGCCAGTATACTTATGTTGGGAACCCACTCAGGCCTTGTGCAAGGGCAGCAAGTGTTCTTTTTTTTAAATTTGAAATTAAGTTTAATGTACAATAAAGTAACAGAAAAAGAAATTAAAAGCAGACAGAGAGAAAAACCTTCCCAGAATTACAGAAATAAAAGGAATCTGGGCCGGGCGTTGGTGGCGCATGCCTTTAATCCCAGCACTTGGGAGGCAGAGGCAGGCGGATCTCTGTGAGTTTGAGGCCGGGCTGGACGGACAGCCTCCAAAACAATACAGAGAAACCCTGTCTCGTAAAACCAAAAAATAAAAAAATAAAAAAATAAAAGATCCCACTATGTATCCCTGGCTATCATGGAATTCATTATGTAGACCAGGCTGGCATCAAACTCACAGAGATCCACCTGAGTTTGTAATTAAAGGCAATAACCACTATGCCAGGCTAGAATTTATATTTTTATAACATACAAAACATCGATGAATACCACCTCTGAATACCATCCATGAATTTAGACAATTTTAAAATTTCATTCAGGTATTGAAGAAATGACCCAGCAGTTAAGAGTTCTTGCTGCACAATGATGAGGGCCAGCCTTCAGATCCTAGAGTGCTCACATAACAAACTGGGTGTCACACTCACACAGAGATACAGGGATCCCGAAGCTAGCTGGCTTCCACCACAGCAGAGGAAAGACTAGCTCCATGTTCAAGGAGAGATCCTGCCTCGAGGGATTAGGAAGAGAGCAATCGAAGAGGCCATTCAATGCCTTCTTCTGGCCTTCATACATGTGCATGTGTACAACACCCACATACACATGTGTCCATACACTCACATCCAGACACCCATCTAAATAAATAAACATATAACACCCATACAATGGAGAGATGGTTCAGTTGTTAAGGGCACTTGTAGCTGTTCTAAAAGACTTGAATTCAGTTCTCAGCACCTACATCTGTTGACTCAATGCTGCCTTAAACTTTAACTCCCTCTATCTCCAAGGTGTTTTCCATCCTCTTCAGGCACTGCATGAACACACACACACACACACACGCACGCACGCACGCACGCACGCACAAATATTTTATAAAAACAAATTACAACCACCAGTTTCCTGTGCTTTTTTCATTACACCAACTTCCAAAAATAGCTCTTGTAGACCACGCTGGTCTCAAACCCACAGAGATCCTGCCTCTGCCTCCAAGTGCTGGGATTAAAGGCGTGCGCCACCACCGCCCGGCTAGCTGACAGGTTTCTTAAAATCTATTATTCCATTTAACACCACAATTACCCAATCTTCTGCTATCAGAATCCTTTTATAGCAGTGGTCAGCAAATGATGGTCAATGGATCAAATATAGCCTACTATTTCTGTTAGTACAATTTTCCTGGAATATGGCCACATTTTTAAATAACGACTTTTATTTTTATCTGAAGGAGGATTTTCCTGCACGTATGTTTGTGCACTATGGCGGTTTGAATGAAAATGGTCCCCATAACTTTATATATTTGAGTGCATATTCATCAGGGAATGACACTCCTTAGAAACATTAAGAGGTGTGGCTTTGTTGGAGTAGGTGTAGCCTTGCTGGAAGAAGTACGTCAGCAAAGACGTACGTCAGCAATCGAGGTGGCTGCGGCGCGCAGGCGCATTCGGCGCAGACAGGGCTGGGCCGAAGCGAGCGCAGCGCAGGCAGCGGCGTCAGAGCGAGTGGAGCCTTAGGGGTCTCCCGGTTGGCGGCGGCGGCGGTGCAGAGAGGAAGGCAGCGGTTCTCCCCCTGCCTGCACGCGATCCGGTCTGTCCTGCGAGCTCGCGCCGGGTCCCGCGGCGCGGCGCGGCCCGGCCCCGGTTCCGCGGCCCAGCGCGGCCCTGTTCGGTCCCGCGGCCCAGCCCCAGGCCCCGGGCCTCTCCGCAATCACCGCAACCGCAGCAACCGCTGCCATCGCCATCGCCATGGCCCGGCCACTGGTGCCCAGCTCGCAGAAGGCGCTGCTGCTGGAACTGAAGGAGCTGCAGGAGGAACCGGTGGAAGGCTTTCGGGTGACGCTTGTGGACGAGGGCGACCTGTACAACTGGGAGGTGGCCATCTTCGGGCCCCCCAACACCTACTACGAGGGAGGCTACTTCAAGGCTCGCCTCAAGTTCCCCATCGACTACCCGTACTCCCCACCAGCCTTTCGCTTCCTCACCAAGATGTGGCACCCAAACATCTACGAGACGGGGGACGTGTGCATCTCCATCCTCCACCCCCCAGTTGACGACCCACAGAGCGGAGAGCTGCCTTCAGAGCGGTGGAACCCCACACAGAATGTCAGGACCATCCTCCTGAGCGTGATCTCCCTGCTGAATGAGCCCAACACCTTCTCGCCTGCCAATGTGGACGCCTCAGTGATGTACCGGAAGTGGAAGGAGAGCAAGGGGAAGGACCGCGAGTACACCGACATCATCCGCAAGCAGGTCCTGGGGACCAAGGTAGACGCGGAGCGGGACGGCGTGAAGGTGCCCACCACGCTGGCCGAGTACTGTGTGAAGACCAAGGCGCCGGCGCCCGACGAGGGCTCAGACCTCTTCTACGACGACTACTATGAGGACAGCGAAGTGGAGGAGGCCGACAGCTGCTTTGGGGAGGAAGAGGACGACTCTGGCACCGAGGAGTCTTGACCAGCTTCCCTGAAATAAACTTTCAGATTTTACTTAAAAAAAAAAAAAAGAAGTATGTCACTGGGCATGGACTTTGAAGTCTCAGATGCTTAAGCCAGGTCCAGTTTCTCACTCTGCATGCCACCACACTCCCTGCCATGATGATAATGGACTAAACTTTTGAAACTGCAAGTCAGCCCCAGTTAAATGCTTTCCTTTATAAGAGCTGTCATGGTCGTGGTGTCTTCACAGCAATAGAACACTGACTAAGATGTGCGCTTCATGTGTGTAGTGCCTGTAGAGACCAGAAAAGGGTGTCAGATTTCCCGGAACCGGAGTTATAGACAGTTGTGAACTACCACGTGGTTCCTGGGAATTGAACCCTACTCCTCTGGAAGAGAGCAGCCAGTGTTCGTAACTGCTGAACCTACTCTTCAGACCTATAGTCACATTTAACCTGTGTTGTCTTTTGGGGCTTCAGTGATAGCAGTCTTAACAAATCATTCATCTGGTCTGCAAACTAGAGTGCCAACACCTACCAGATCCATAAAAAGCTTCTTTTGTCAACAGTGGTAGATATAAGTTCTTAAACTGTAAATTTACTTGAAAATGTTAATTAAGCCAGGTGTGGTGGTACATGTTTGCCTGGAAGCCCAGGTCTTGGGAGGCAGGAACAGGAGGGCAAAGAGTTCAATTTCACTCTGAGGTATGCAGAGCGTTAGAGGCCCACCTGTACTTTATGAGAATTTGTCAAGCACGCGCACGTGGGCACAGAGACAGGGAAAGACAGAAACTTGTAAGTGTATTATTGACAATACTGTTGATTTTTCCTTTTAAGTTAATAATTGGACTGGGCATAGTGGCATATATCTTTAATTACAGCACTCAGGAGGCAGAGGTAGGAGGATCTCGGTGAGTTTGAGACCAGCCTGGACTACATAGAGAGTCCAGGACTGCCAGGGCTGCATAGGGAGATCCTGTAAATTGCATTAAATTAGTTATTGCTGTATGTGTTTATATGGTATGTTTTGGGAATTGTGGGTTAAAGTGCACATGTGTAGGCCATAGTAAAACTTTGTCTTCTTTTCTTTATGTGGGCTCTTGTAATTTAATTTAGGTCATCAGGCTTGCACTTTGCCCAAAGCCATCTCACCAGCCTGCTAACTTTTCCGGAGAGAAAAGCTTATGTTATGATTGTATTATGCATTAATTCAAAATGAACCCAATGCATTGATAGAATCTTCATTTTTAATTTTATTTATTGTATGTGTATAGGTGTTTTGTCTGCATGTACGTCTATGCATCACAGGTATGGCTGGTGTCCCTGTATGCCAGAAGAGGATACGAGATACCCTGAGATTGGAATCACAGGCAATTGTGAGCTACCATGTGTGTTCTGGGTGTACTGGGGACTCAAACTCAGGTCCTATCGAAGAGCAGGCTGCAGAAACATATCTCCAGCCCCACATTAACAGGCTCTTTTTTGGTTTTCTACTTTTTTGAGACACGGTTTTTCTGTGTAATAGCCCTGGCTGTCCTGGAACTCATTCTATAGACCAGGCTGACCTTGAACTCAGAGATCTGCCTGCCTCTGCCTCCTAAGTGCTGGAATTAGAGGTGTGTGCCACCATGCCTGGCCACACTGTCAGACTTTTAATGCAGAGACTTTTAATGCAGAGACTTTTAATGAAGATGGCATTGTTTCTGATTTTTGCTTTGCAGAAGAGTTGTATTCACTGTTACAATATGGTGTTTTGGTTAAACAATCTACCCTTTGAGGTACACAGCAAAGGAAGTTTTTGTTTCACTTTCTCTCTTTTAGATGGAGATGGATGTTGCCCTGGTCTTGATCTCTTGAGCTCAAGTGACCCTTCGGCATCATTCTTCTGGGTATCTGATTATGATTCATGCCACTGCACCTGGTAAAAATGCAGATTGTGTTTGTTCTTTCATATTACAACTAATATTGACAGATGATTTCTCTATAGCCCAGGCAGACCTTGAACTTGGAATCCTGCCTCTGTTTCCAAACTTATTAGAATTACAGGCCTGTATATCACCCAGTCCAGAGAATCAGTAGTTTTTCTTATTTAAATTCTCTGAGATTGGGTCTCCCTATGTAGCCCTGGCTGTCCTGGAACTCACTATGTAGATTAGACTCGCCTCAAACTCACATCCATCTCTGCCTTGATTGTGGTGACATCTAAGACTTGCACCACCATGCTCAACAAGTAATAATTTGTTAAGTTACTTGTCCTCTGGACTCTAGTACATAATACGCAAGTTTTATTAGAATCCATTGGTCTGGGCTCAGGGTGTAGCTCAATGGCAGAGCACTAGCCTAGCATGTACAAGACCTTTGATTCTATCTTCAGTGTCTGAAAAAAAGTTTTATTATTCTGTCTTCAACTTTGGATGTAATTCTAACATCCCAATTATGGAAAATTTGGGAAACATTGGTGGAAAGAGCTATGAAAAGGTTTCATTAAAAAATTTTATTTGGCGCTGGAGAGATGGCTCATAGGTTAAGAGCACTGGATGCTCTTTGAGAGGTCCTGAGTTCAGTTCCCAGCAACCGAATGGTGGTTCACAACCATCTGTAATGAGATCTGGTCCCCTCTTCTGGTGTGCAAGCATACATGCAGAACGTTGTACACATAATAAATAAATAAAATCGTTAAAAAATTGTATTTATGTTTATGTGTGTATCTCTGTGGGTGTATGTTGTGGGAACAAGAGACCTTGGCCGGAGGCCCACTTCCCCATAAGCCTGGGAGCAGGCAGCTGTAACCGACCGCAGAGAAGACATGTTTACTAAAACATGTTTACTAAAAACAATCCGGTGCCTGTAAGAAATAAGTTCCTGATAGGGGCTTGCCCACGGGAACACCCTGACCTTGACCTTTCCAATGGCTAACCGCCTCTTCCTGACCCCCAACCCCAGACACTGGTGTCAGGGCAGCCTGGGTAAGAATAGAGCGAGGCCTTCTTGAAGCCTTCTTTCACTGTGTCATCAATCCCGACAACCTCCGCAGATTCTCGGTCACAGGCTGCGCAGTGGACATGGCAGTATGTCACATGTGTGAGGGTGCTATTGGAGAACAGAAGGTATCCGATCCCCTGGAGCTGGTGTTCCAGGCGGTTGTAAGCCACCTGACATGGGTGCTGGGATCTGAACTCAAGTCCTCTGGAAGAACAGCAAGTGCTATTATCCATTGAGCCATCTTTCCAGTCCCTCTTCCTAAAAATTTAAATGTTCCATTTATTATTCCTTTATATCACTGATCTATTCAGCAACTTCTTTATTAAAACTCATTTTTTCGTGAAAAGCTCATTGTTTCATAGATAGCAAATTCTCTTTGGTGTGATAGATTCATTTCATGCATTTTTCTAAAAATGCTAAACAGAAATCCAAGTTTTTTTTTCTAGGAATTAAATATTAGAATAAATTAAGTGATTTTTTTTCGAGACAGGGTTTCTCTGTATTGTCTTGGAGACTGTCCTGGAACTTACTTTGTAGACCAAGCTGGCCTTGAACTCACAGAGATCTGTCTGCCTCTGCCTCCCAAGTGCTGGTATAAAAGGCATGCGCCACCAACGCCTGAAGTGATTTTTTTTCTTTTGGTTTTTACGAGACAGGGTTTCTCTGTATTGTTTTGGAGGCTATTGGTCCAGCCGGGCCTCGAACTCACAGAGACCCGCCTGCCTCTGCCTCCCGAGTGCTGGGATTAAAGGCGTGCGCCACCACCACCCGGCCTGAAGTTAAGTGATTTTTAAGAGATTTATGTATTCTTTATGTGTATGGATGTTTTTGCCTCCATGTCTGTGTACCACATACATGCAGTGTCTGTAGATGCCATAAGAGGGTACTGGATCCCCAGGAACTGGAGTTATAGATGGTTGTTATCCACTATATGGGTGCTAGGAACTGAACCCACATCTTTTGGAAGAGAAATCAGTGCTTTTAAATGCTGAGCCATCTCTCCAGCCTTTGGAATGTTTTAAAAGAATATAATTACTACCATTATTATTAATACTTTTAACAAGTTCTCACATTGTTGCCAAGGCTGGCCTGGTATGCAGTGTGTAACCAAGGCCAGCTTCCATTTGAGGTAATCCTCCTGTCTCCTTGAGTGCTAGGATTGCAAGTAAGCCACTGTCACATAGCTCTTTTCTCAGGACAGAAAAGTCCCTCCTGGAGTGAAGACAGAGGCTCCCAGGATTCAGCAAACTAAGAAAATTTACAAGGCTGGGGAAGCTCAGAGAGTTACAACATTGGGGCCAGGGAACACAGCTCAGGCAGTAAGTGCTTGGGGGTACAAGCTCTAGGAACTGAGTTAGATCCCTAGCATCCATATAAGTATGTGCATTGGGGAGTGGGTGGAGATATGGCTCAATGGTTAAAAGAGCACGGATTGCTCTTCCTGAGGCCCTGGGTTTAATTTCTAGCACCCACATGGCAGCTCACAACTGTCTGTAATTCCAGTTCCAGGGGACCTGACACCTATAGCAAAACACCAATGCACATAAAATAAAAATAAATTTAAAAAATCTGCATGTGGTGAGTTACACTCATAATCCTAGTGCTGGGGAAGCAGGCACAGAAAACTTCCTGGGCCAGCCAGTCCAGCCTAGTCAGTGAGCTCCAGGTTCCAGTGAAGAGACCTGAGGAATGGTATCCAAGGTTGATGTCTTGCCTCTGCACACATGTACACATGCACACCTGCACACACATATGCTACAACCCACAGAGATGAGAATGTACACACATAGTAAATAACAGAAAACCCCTTACAAGATTAACATAGCCCTTCCTAAGCTTCTATAAGCACTAAACGATTAGCTAGGGGATTCTTCCATGCAGTTGCCTGAAAGCTAAAAACAACCAGTGCTCCAGGAATGTGGCTTTGATGAGTGATCACCTATGCTGGGACAGGGGTTGGGGCGGGGGCTTTCCTTGTAATACAACTGCTTTTAGGTCACACATACTCTAATAATTAACCAGAAAAAGTAAACAGATTTGAGTGAAATCATTTCTTTGGTCATCTGCAAACGGATGTTTGTTCATGTTTCCCCAGGCAAAATTGCCACCATGTTTTAAAACAGTCTCAAGTGTGGTGCTGTGGTGGCCCATGGCCTTTAATCCCTGCACTCCAGAGGCAGATGCCGGCAGATCTCTGTGAGTTTGAGGCCAGCCTGGCCTGCAGAATGAGTTCCAGGACAGCCAAGGCTACACAGCGAAACCCTGTCTCAAACAAAACAAAACAAAAAACCAACAACAGCAAAAAACAATTTCAAGTAGCCGCCATGCCTGTATGATAACATTCTGAAACCTTCCTGTCCTTGTTACATGGTGGTACAATAGATGCAATTTTCTGAGGCAGAATCTTGATATGTAGCTGTGATGGCTGATCTTCATTGTTGGTTTGACTGGATTTGTTATTACCTAAGAGATTCACTTTTGAGGATGGCTGTGGTATAGTTTTCCAGAAACATTTAGCCTAAGCTGAATGTGGGTGGCACTCTTGGACTGAATTCAAGGAGAGAAAGTGAGCTGCACAAGCAGTCCCAATGTGATCACTCACCTATTTCCCCTGCCATGTCTCCTCATCTTTTCCTGCCACAATGGACTCCCTTTTGTAGATGCAGTCCAGCAGCCATTAGTCCCAAACAAACACACAGAGGCTTATATTAATTATAAACTGTGTAGCTGATGACTCAGGTTCTCTTAATTATTAACCAATTTCTATTAATCTGTGCATCTCCACGTATGTGGTCTTGACTTACCTGTGATGCCCGGGTCTCTAACTTCCTTGGCAGCTCTAAGGCATCTCTCCACTCATACTACCTTTCTTTTTCTTTATCCCAGTTTCTCTTATTGGTTAAATCCTGTTTGTCCACCAGCCAAAACAGCTTTATCCATCAACCAATAAGAGAAACAGTCACACCATACAGAAGGACATGCCCCATCACCCTTCAAATCATAAAAAGAAAACGCTTGCTTTTTGCCACATTGGTGAGAAAAGTAGCTAATACAGTATCTCTGGCTACCACGAAACTGTTAGCCCAAGTAACCTCACTGTACTTGTTTCAGCCTCCCAAGTGGAAGGATTGTAAGTGTGAGCCACTATGAATGTCTCATCCTTTTCCTTCTGCTTTTGAGTTCCTGTAGTCTAGATTGGACTTGAATTCATCATGTAATCAAGGCCAGCCTTGAACTCCTGATTTCCCTGTCCCCACCTCCAAGTGCTGGGATTATAGTATGTGGAATAATGCTGTTTTTGCAGTGCTATGGATTGAATCATTCTATCAACTGAGCTACATGTAACACTCCCTTTGTTCCCAGTGTTGCTACATAGTCCTGGCTGGCCTCACATTCTGTCCCTTCTGCTTCAGCCTCCTAAGTGCTAGGATATACAAAGAAGTGTATCAGCAGGCCCAGCCAGGGTCATTCCCTTTATCATTTCTCTCTCTGTGTGTGTGTACATATGGTATTATATAGTGAATATGTTATATAGAAGCCTGAAATCAAAGTTGGTAATCATTCGGTATCCCTCTTCCACTTCATTGAGTCAAATCCAGAGTTCTTGATACAGTGGACCACCATGCCCACTAACATTTTTTGTGGGTTATAGGGAATCTAAACTGGTTGGAAAGCCTGCACAGCAAATGCTTATGTTATCTTCCTTGCCTTAGGGTTATTTTCTTTCTTCTAAAGATTTGTCTTAGTATTTTGCCTGCAAGTTTCCATGTATGCCCCAAGAATGCCTGGGGCCTCAGGCCAGAAGAGGACATTCATTCTCTGGAACAAGATGTGCTTGCAGATAGCTGGGAGCTGCCATGTGGGTGTTGGTAATTAACGGAACCTGGGTCCTCTGGAAGAGCAGCCAGTGCTCTGTTATATAACTGAGTCATCTCTCTAACTCAGCCTGTATTATTTCTTTTTTGGTTTTTCGAGACAGGGTTTCTCTGTATTGTTTTGGAGGCTGTCCTGGAACTAGCTCTGTAGACCTACCTAGGCTAGGTTCAAACTCATAGAGATCCGCCTGCCTCTGCCTCCTGAGTGCTGGGATTAAAGGCGTGCACCACCCACCAAACGCGCCGGCCCCCTTCCCTTTTTATGATCCCTTTCCCTAACTAAAAAAAAAACCCCTCTGCTTGAACCTTGTGGCATGGCATCTTTCTCACACATTCTTCTTAAATTACAATAAACATGCAAAGTTTCCCAGAATCCTCTGAAAGCCAAAAAGTAGTTTGAGAACCCTAAATTATATGACCTATTGTTAGAAACAGTTAAAAACCTTGCAACTGTGTGAGGTGGGGCACAACCTTGGGGGCAAATTCTACCTGTGGGATGTTGACAATCTCCAGGTAGTGTTAGACTCTGAGGTCAACTGGCACACACTGTAGATCTGCTTGCTTGCTTGCTTGGTGTGTAGGGAAGCAAGTCCAGACACCAGGTATCTGTGTTAATTCACAGGAAAGGAAAGAGTTTACATTAAAATTCAGTAACTTTCTGGTCTGTGCCTCTTTCTGGGGATAGTGAGTGGTGTGTGTCTGCAATCCCATGGCCTTGGAGGCTGAGGCATGAATGTTGGGAATTCAAGGCCAACTTGGGGATACACAGTGAGATCCTCTCTTCTCACTCCCCACAAGACCAGAGTAACAGGCAACATGCTGGCTGGAAATTTAGGTTCTCCTATACATATCTGCATAGCACAAAAGGTCCACTGACTATTGCTTTAGTAATTTGAGATCATTCTGGACAATTGGTTTACTGTTGAAAATGTCTTCTTCACTACAGGTTTTCAGCATTGACACAATGCATCCATTCAGTTCAAACAATCAAAATCAGATTTAAAAAAAGAAATGGATAAAGTATACAAGTGCACCTTTTCTAATCCATCACACTTAAGTTTCAAAAAAAAAACCTACAAAATTTCAGAAAAGAATCATCTTTAACATCTTAAAAATAGTAGGAAAAGAACCAATTATATACAGTCTTGGGTTGTTTTCGTGCTTTATTTTCTACTTGCTGTAGTTTGCATATGATTTCTTTACATTGTTCCACATGATGGGAATCTATAGCAAAAGGACTCATTAAAGAATAAAAATGACACATTACCACAGCCAGCATTATTAGTAACTATAAACTTTCTCTGAAGAAATATAGAGCGGTTAGTATTAATTCCAGAAAATAGCCGCAAGCAACTTGGCGACTCCCACCTGCCGAATTAAAGAAGGATGGTGTGGTAGCAACTGCAGTGTCCACACAGCACAAATAATATATTCTACACGTTCCTTTTATGACAGTAATTAAAGACTGCAAGCAAGGTAAGGTACACAGCGAACACAGGAGACATGCATCTTCTGTCTTACATGGTCCTGGGTTTCCACATGAAAAGCAGATACCAAGTGTGAATGTTATTAACCCTCCAATAATTCTACAGTAGGTGTTTCTATCCTCCCTATATCCCATGCCAGGCTTGTGAAGCTGAGACAAGCTGGAAAGGTAGTGATGGATACTTGGTAGAATTGACTGGGGATTGGGGTACAGACCCCAGAACCCACGCTCTTTATTTTCTCTGTCTAGCACACTGTCCTTAAAAGACTGGTAAATGTCCAGTACAGTGTCTCAATTGCTCAGTCTACTGCTTACTTAAACTCGCTTTATTTATTTATTTAGGTTTTTCAAGACAGGGGTTCTCTGTGTAGCCATGGCTGTCCTGGGACTCGGCTCTGTAGACCAGGCTGGCCTCAAACTTTGTCTCCCATGTGGTGGGACTAAAGGTGTCCACCACCACCACCCAGTCTGTGTTTACTTATACTTGTACTATAACTTAATTCAGATTTTGTTCTTTTCTGAACAGGGATCAGAAATGATGGTTTAAGTTAAACCACAAACATGAAGGTAGTGTGTAAAAGTCTGTGGGAGTCCTACTAGTATATAAATGAAACTTATCCATACTGAGCAGGATGAATATCACACACTGATACAAATCTTTATGAAAGGCAGGCATAGAGCTGTCTTCATCCTGATACTTTATAAACTGTAAAGCCAGTTTATTGTGGACATCATTAAATCTGTACAGAATACAAATTGAGTATAAATCTAGCTATTCAAAACATGCTTGTACCTATTTGATTACTCAGTTACTCTGCAGTCAACACTGACAGTTTCTACCTATTAAAGATGTTGTTCAACACAGTAATTTAAAGTTTACTAAGACAAGTGAGATTAAGCAATATTACAAGTCACAAAGTTTTTAAGTGACAACTTATAGCTATGATTCCATACATGGGATGAATAAACCAATGGCTATTTTCCAAATAATATATAAAATTTCTGTCATGAATACTTTGTAGTCTCTTAAGATGTTTAAGAAAGATTCAACAGGCAAACGACTAAATCTTGGCAAGTCTTTTTACACAGACGCTTGGTGTGGTTACTCAGTCACTTTAGCAACACACCATGCTCATGCTCTATCTGGAATAAACGACATGAAAAACACTGGTTTATGGGGTGCTGGGGATCAGACCAAGAGTTTGGTGTAAGACTATCAAATTGATTAGCATTAACTTCTTACACCATCACAGCAGGAAGACATATTATTCTAGTTGCGTATGTTTGTGCACAGCTGCAACCCCTGCAATTGGGAGGTAAAGGCAGAAGATCAGAAGGCTAGCCTTAGCTGTTGGTATTTCAAGGCCAGCGTGGGGTATGAGATCCTGTCTCAAAAAAAAAAAAAAAAAAGAAAGAAAAAGAAAACAACCCGTCCTCCACAAAAAGAATAGCATTATTCTTAGATTTCAAACATTTTATTTTTCTTTCTGGTTGCTACTTAGAGTTATACTATAGAAGTCAAACCAAAAATAATAATAAAAAACCCCAAAATTTCCTTGCAGACCACTTCCATTCCTTATCTGAAATAAAACTGAATCAGTTAAACTATTCAATTCCCATACCAAATACATGTCAAAGAACTCTTCCAGGTAGCATTTGCATACTAGTGACAACTGTATTCAACTACTTTATAAACTAGTATGGCTCCACATCACCCAGAATACAAGAACACTCATTAATGCTGCTACTATTTAGGCAAGAAAAGAGATATAACCACCAGAAGGTACAGGAAAAGGGGTTACATGTTAATTTCTAAAAACCCTCAAATCCTGTTACAGGAAGTAGAAAACCAACTTTTGAGCTGTATCACCTATGTAGAGTTAAAACACTGCTCATAATATAATGCATAGCTACATACAGTGCAAATTTAGTAAAAATGTTTTTTATTTTTGAGACATTATTTTATTTAGCCCTGGCCACTATTCAACAACTCCTGTGCTGGGATCACAGGTGTATGCCACATCCAGCTGGTGAAACACTTTTAAGGTCCAAAGATCTAATTACTGATGAAAACAAGTGCTTAACAAATGCCCCAGGGGTAGTTTTAGCCCTTGGTCTCAGATATGCTCTGCCTAGTTAATCACTAAGAAATTTCTCAGAATAAGAAATTCAGACTAATCACTTCATCTTTTCTACTGTTGTTATGGCACCTCAGATTTTGAAGCTGAGTAGGAAAACCTGAGATGAAGTCATAGTTAAGAAAGGGATTACAGAAGATCTTGTTTGTGAAACCATGTAATATGCATTCCTTTGTGTGTTCCTTTTCATTAATGAAAAGTTTTCTGATGTTAGTAGAGTACAAGGCCCACAACCTGCATGATGGATCTCGGTTTTAAACTTGCATGCTTTGTGTGTACAGTGAATTCTGACTAGCCCAGCTCTAACTGCAATGATAACTCCTAAATAAAAGCAAACCTAAATTCCTTGTACAAAGAAAATGGGATCCCTGGACCCCTTCCCAAACTGTCTACCTAATAAACTTGTCCCCTAATGTAAAGTTGGAGTACATGATATCGTCTGCAGCATGCTATTTTTTTCAGCTACAGCTCTTAGATTCAGAAATAAGAAAACACCTTTTTACTAAGCTTGTTATTTGAACTCCTGGTCCTCTTGCCTGGACCTTACCAAGTGCAGGGTTACAGGTCATGCCATTATATCAGGGTTATGTTTGTTATTCCCTCATTTCCCCCTCAGTTTAAGGAAAGCCTTAAAAAGCATTTATACTCTTATTATATAGTATTCATATTGTTATGAACTTAAATCTTCACTTGTCTATATCTTATGTGTTTATAAAGCACTCAGAATTGTAGTTTATGTGAGTAAGACTCCTGAAAAGCAACACTCCAACACAATCTTTCTTTTTGGAAAAATATTCTATGCACAATTTTTCTCTGTTTGGTAATTTCCTACTCACACTAGTTGAGAAAAGAAACCATCTCAATAATTAAAAATAGTATTACCAATGTTTAGATAGCTGAGCACCACCTAGTGTTCAATTTCTGCAACTACTGACCTGAATTCAAAATTTGCATTAAAAACCAGTTTCTAAAAACATTTTGGAAATGCCTTTCCTCTCCCAGTAAGTTGACTGCAAAACAAAATCATGAAAAGAACTTACATGTTATCAAAACTAGTATAAAAATAGCCATATAATTAAATATGCAAAGCAGACCTATCATTTTTGTCTTTAAATAGATTTCTGCCAGATGTGGTACATACATATAATCTCAGCACCCAGGAGGCTGAGAAAGGAGTATCATAGAGTTTGAGGTCCACTATGACTATAGTGAATTCCAACCTAACCTCGGATACAAAGTTAGACTCTGTCTCAAAATATAATAAAACAAAGAACGGATTTCTGCCTCCATTTGTATCAAAATCTCTGGGCAACTGGAGTATACATAAAGACTGCACAGTCAACAGCTATGCAAGAGGAGGGCTTAGTCATAATTTATAATGAGTACAAGGCAAATAGTTTATTCAAAACATCCATTTACTTACTGGAAGTGGTCAAAGTAGGAAAGGCAGTTATTTTTTTTTTCTTACATGAACTTGAGTTCTATTACATCAAATGAACAGAAGTGGGCTTAACATATCACTTAAGATATCAGTTTTGAAAGAAGCGATCTTAGTATCGAATCAAGTCTGCTTCAACACATTACAATCAAGACAGTGAAAACTTTTCCTTGAGGTCTATGGCTGGCCAGATTTCAAACTTGCAGGGCAATCTTCAGAAAGACCAGAATGTAAACTGTTGAGCTCATTTTAGATCTGAAAGAGAAAAGAACATTAAGTCAAAGGAAAAAAATACTTCTTACAAGTGTGTGCCAATACATGTGCACTACTGGGAGTGCTGTGTATATTAGGTGGGTTGCAGGAAGAGGACCTCAGATGTTGGTCTTCACTTTCAACCTTTTGATAAAAGGTCTCTTTTTTCTTCACTCTTGGGTATATCAGGCTAGCTGGCCTACGAGCTTCCAGAGATTCCTGTCTGCACCTCTGACTTTGCCATAAAAGCATTAGGTTTAGAGAAGTTACTGTAGCCATCTTTATGTGGATTCTGTGGAGCTGAATGCCGATTCTCAGGAGTGCCTGGTAAGCACTTTACCCTGAGAAGCAAACAGGTCCTTTGCAACAGTCGTAAGCACTCTTAACTGTCCAGCCATCTGTCTAGTCTTCCCAAATCTTCTTTGTTGTTGTTGTTTTTTCTTCTTTTTAGTTTTGAGATAGGGTCTCTATCTATATCCCTGGCTGACCTACATCTGCCTCCTGAGTGCTAGGATTAAAGGCCTGTGCCACACTGTGTCTGGCCCCTGAGGACATTCTCTTTTTCCCTCCTCTCTCTCTCTCCCCTGTTCCCTTCTCTCTACAGGGTTTCTTTGTGTAGCTGTCCTGGAACTTTGTAGACCAGGCTGGCCTCAAACTACAGAGATCCTCCTGCCTCTGTCTCCCAAGTGCTGGGATTAAAGGCGTGTGTCACCCCCCAGCACCTGAGAATATTCTTAATTAGATTTGCTGTCTCCTTCCTTTTGCATTGCTTATTTGAGATTTCATTTTACATTTTACTTCAGTTTTTGTGCCTGCACCTTTGCTTATGTATGTAGGTAACAGTGGAGGCCAGAAGAGGATGTCAGATTCCCTGGAGCAGAAGTTGCAGGTAGTTGTGAGCTGCCTCATGTGGGTGCTGGGAACCAAGCCAGGGTCCCTTGCTGCATGAGCAATAAGTATTCTTAACCATTGAGCCACTTTGCCAGCCCTGATTTGAGATTTTATATTTGGGGAGTAGGAATAGACATGAAGGACCATGACCTCTTTCAAGAACTAGTGAAGTGTGTTTTCAATCCTTTCTTTCCATTTGTTTACTGAAGTACAGACAGAACCTCTTTTAACACTTAGAAAACAGCCAAAGAAATAAATATCCCAAGGAAAAAAGCAGAGTTCTCAGGTGATACAACAAACTTATTTAAAAAAAAAAAAGCAGACAAATAAAAACAACCAAGAAATGGCCTGAGGCTCTCTGGAATCCATATGAACTGACTTCTACATGTATGCCCTAAGCACGAGTGTACTTGTCCATCCATCCACACAAAATAAATACATTTCAAAATAATGTTCATAACAATGTAAATTCTGGGGTGGAGATGGCTCACTGGTTAACACTGTGTACTGCTACAGTTTTGTTACTGGCACCTACATTGGGCGTGTTCACAACTGCCTTTAACCCTAGCTCCAGAAGCTCTGACTGATGCCCTATTGTTCTCCGTGGATGGGCACCCAACCCACACATCCTACATTTGAGTAAAACAAAACAAAATAAATGAAGATATTTTAAAAGGGGGGCATAAATTCAGCATCACCCTCCCCTTAACATGACTTCCTATTTTTCTTTTCTGTCCCTCTCCACCTCTCTTTTTGAATTACTAGGTAATTACTCAGGGCCTTGTACATGCTAGGGAAGTACTTTACTACTCAGCTCCATCCTAACAAGGGAGGAATTGTTTTTGGCTAGGCTCAAGAGCCTCAAAGAAAGCTATGCTTAAAATGTTTTTTAAAAATCACTTTTTGTTGTGAGTATGCCTTAAAATGTTATTTATTTTCTGTGCATTATCACACGAGGGCCTAGTGCCCTCGGAGGCCAGAGGGAAGCATGAAGTCCCCTGGAACTGAAGTTTTTAGACTGTATTCAGTGGGACTGGAGAGATGACTCAGCAGTTAAGAACACTGACTGTTCTTCCAGAGATCCTGGTTCGATTCTCAGCACCCACATGGCAGCTACTCCTGTCTTGTAACTCCAGTTAAAGGGGAGACATACATGCAAGCAAAACTTCAATGCAAATAAAGTAAATGTGTGTTTGTTAACAGAGGCTACAAAAAGGCTTCAGAGCCTTTAGAATTGGAGTTACAGGCAGTTATGAACCGCCTGATGTGTGATCTGGGAACTACAATTGGGTTCTCCACCAGAACAGTATACTCTCTTAACTGATAAAACAGGGTTTTTCTGTTTTTTCGAGACAGGGTTTCTCTGTACGTTTGGAGTCTGACTTGGAACTCTTTGAAGACCAGGCTGGCCTTGAACTCAGAGATCTGCCTATGCCAACAACTGCCTCTCAGTGCTGGGATTAAAGGTGTGTGCCACTACTTCCCGGCCTGATAAAACAAGTTCTCTAGCTCCTACTTGTTATGGTAGTACTATGTGGAAAGCTAGGTGTGGTACAAGGTATTGCTAGGTAGCCCCAGCTGGCCTGGTATTTGCCGGTATTGCAACCCAGGCCGACCTCAAACTTGAAGCAATATGGCTTTAGCCTCCCAATTACCAGAAATACAGGTACATGTTACCACACCTCGCTAACAGTTTGACCTCTGATGATTTAACCCATGGCTAAGCCTCAAAATACACTTTTATTTATATATATTAATTGGGCTAAATAATGGTTTTCATTTTGACATACATGCATGCACGTTTTGACTCTATCCAATAATCACCTACTATCCTTATCTCTTCACCTTGATCTTATTCCTCTTTCAGAACAGTGCCTTTATTTTCATGTCCCCCACCCCCAAGTATATACTCTCATTTAAATGTTCTATATTCCTAGTTTTATAAGAATTTAAGGGAAAGGTCTAGTATCTTTGTATGTATGTATGTAACTCATGAACAAAAACCAGAAAAAGTGGAATGTATCTACTTACATCATCAATGTCTTCATCATCATCTCCAATGTCATCAAACTGAATTTCGTCATCATCTCCAGGACCAAATGTATCAGTTTCATTGATTTTAGCTAAAGAAAAAAATATATACACTGATAATATAATCAAAATGTTGGCTTTCAATTTTCTACTAATCTTGCTATATGAAGCAAAATATTAAAACATTGAGAGTATTTTAATTTTCTTTTGTTCATAAGGGCTATTTAGCAAGAGAAGCTCTAACTATACTAATTCTGAACCAATTACATCCTCCAGGTTATGCTTCAGAAGTTTGTGCACATACTAACAACTTTATTTCCTATCTCAAACAAAAGATAAAATAAGTTACTTTAGGAAGGAGTCATTACTGATTTGGGACTAGGGATGGTTTCAAGTGTCCAGAAAGTCAACATCTGATCAAAATGAACCATACAGAAAGAAACAGACACTAAGAAGCAAAGAACAACCAATTCCCAACAATGGTAAATTAGGAAGAAACATCTGGGCACATCATACTTTCACCTAAGGCATGCTACTCCACCCCCAAATTTCTTGCTGTTTCCAAGATCAGAACGGCAAGTTTATAATTCTTAGCAGGATTTCCTTTTTTGTTTTGAGACAGGGTTTCTCTGTGTTAACAGCTCTGGTTGTCCTGGGACTCACTCTGTAGACCAGGCTGGTCTTGGACTCAGAGATCCACCTGCTTCTGGCCCCTGAGCGCTAGGATTAAAAGCATGCAACACCATGCCAGGCAATAGGGTCTCACTGGTTACAAAGCCATGTTTACATGAGAAAATGGATGCAAAAAATTTTAAAAAGTAACAGCTATATAAAAAAGATGACTTGTAACACTGTATAAATTATATTTTCCCTCTAATAAGGTTATAGACAGCTTATATTTTGAGGGGGAAAAGAACCCATGCTACTTAATCACTGCCCCTTCTATTTACACATATAAACAAGGATGTTTTTCAGTGCTAGTTACTCAACCCAGGTCTCTGTGCATGCTAAGGTGGTCACTAATGCACTGCATTGCCAACTTTTCTTGAAGTTAGAAATAATTCCTTTGGCTGACACTGCAATTTCTCATTAAATCCACTCTTATCAGGAACAGAAATTTATTAACTTCTTTCCCATGGACCTAATATAACGCATAAGCAGGTATATTTAACTCTAATAATGTAAGCACAAAAATAAATAGGAGCAACATAACTTCATTGCCTAAACACTAGCAGACAACCTAAAAACCATGACAAATTAGTAATTACCATGCTCTGGAAGCTCGCCATATGCCTTGAGACTTCTGGCTTCATCTGCGTTGTACTTTAAAATGACATCGGCTTTGTTATCCTTAAAACAAAAACAATTAGATCTGATTATATCACAATTATTAGCTGCAATGTCATTCATTATTTTCAAATTGAATTTGAAAAATGAAATCTCTAGCTGGGTAGTAGTGGCGGCACACGGCTTTAATTCCGACACTCAGGAGGAAGAGGCAACCAGATCTCTGTGAGTTGGAGGGAAGCCTAGTCTACAGAGTGAGTTCCAGGACAGTCAGAGCTGTTATACAGAGAAATCCTGTCTTGAAAAACAAAAAAACAAAACCAAACCAAAAAAAAAATCAAATCTCATGTTTTGCTATAAGAATCTTTCTCATTTTCCCTTAGGTTGATTTCAAAAGGAAGTTTTAATAACATTAACTGAGCAACGATTAAAAATTCAGAGCATGCTGGGCATTGGTGGTACACACCTTTAATCCCAGCTCTTGGAAGGCAGAGGCAGGTGAATCTCTGTGAGTTGGAGACCAACCTGGTCCACAAGACCTAGTTTTAGGGCAGCCTCCAAAGTCACAGAGAAACCCTGTCTTGAAAAACCAAGAAAAAAAATCCAGGGGATCAGACACCCATGACAAAACACTAATGTACATAAAGTTAAAAAAAATCCAGGAATTATATCTCACATCTGTAACAGCAGGATATCTTTTATATTATTTATACTTATTCTTTAATCAGAAGCACAAATGCCCCTCTGGAACTATATTTACAGTGATCACACACTGAAAATCAAAGACTGAGATTTGGTATCATAGCCCAAGGAATTTAAAAATCGTGCATGCATACATACATGAATATATGTGTGGGTTCCTGTGGAGGCTGGAAGGGGGCACCAGATCCCCTGGAACTGGAATTATAGGTGGATGGGATCCACCTGATGTGAATGCTGGGAATCAAACTGTTCCTTTTAAGAGGAGCAAGAGTTCTTAACTGCTGGGTTATCTTTCCAGACCTGATCTAAGGAAATAAATATGCCTTTTCATATATATGTTAAGGTTAATTGTAATGATTATTAATTTTGTCAATTTGACAGGATTTAGAACCACAACAAAATTTTGTTTTTTTCAGACAGGGTTTCTCTGTGTACCTTTGGAGCCTATCCTGTAACTAACTCTGTAGACCAGGCTGGTTTCCAACTCAGAGATCGACCACCTGGTCCAACAAAAATCTTTATTCATTTTTTAAATTTTTTTTTGGTTTTTATGAGACAGGGTTTCTCTGTAGTGTTTCGGAGGCTGTCGGTCCAGCCCGGCCTCGAACTCACAGAGATCCGCCTGCCTCTGCCTCCCGAGTGCTGGGATTAAAGGCGTGCGCCACCACCGCCCGGCTCATTTTTAAAATTTTTTTCGAAGACAGGGTTTCTCTGTAATGCTTTGGAGACTGTCCTGGAGCTAGCTCTTGTAGACCAGGCTGGTCTTGAACTCAAGAGATTTGCCTGCCTCTGCCTCCCAAATGCTGGGATTAAAGGAATGCGCCACCACCGCCCGGCCAAAAATAAATCTTTAGGTCTATGTGTGAGTGAGTTTGTAGATTAGGTTTATTAACATAGGAAGATTCACCCTAAATGCAGGCAGTGCCATTCCATGGGCTGGGGTCCTGGACTGGATAAAAAAACCATATTCACCGGGCGGCAGTGGCACACGCCTTTAATCCCAGCACTTGGGAGGCAGAGGCAGGCGGATCTCTGTGAGTTCAAGGCCAGCCTGGTCTACAGAGTGAGTTCCAGGAGAGCCTCCAAAACAATACAAAGAAACCCTGTCTCGAAACACTAAAAAAATAAAAACCAAACAAACCCACATTCATTCACTAAGCTACCCCAGCTCTTGCTGTCATTTCCCCACCATGATGCACTGTACCCCAAAACTGCTCTTATTACCCAACTTTACCAATTTATGCATTTCTTAAAAATTTATGCTGTGTATTTGTGGTTACGGGATGCCTGAAGGTCAGAGGGCAACTTTGTGGAAATGCTTCTTTCCTTCCACCTTTGTGTGAGTTCTGGGGATCTAAACTCAGATCATCAGGCTTAGGTAGCTGCCTCACTGGCACCCAATTTGTCTTTGTATATTAAAAAAAAACTTATTTCTTCTGTGCTATACTACCAGGACATGATGCCTTAAAATGTTTAATTTCCCCAGTTGAGAAGAATTTCACACACACCCCCAGGAGTGAAAAATGGGTTGATTCAATTTCAAAGGCACTGTCATCTAAATTAGTACTTTTACAGCTGTGAAGTGTACAGAAAGAGGGGACAAATAGTAAGAACCTGCAATTTTTCTTACATATTTTTAGATTTCAGTTTGAATGTTTTGCCTGCCATGTCTACCACATGAATGCCTAATGCCCACAGGAGTCAGGAGGCATCAGATGTTCCAGAAATGGCACTATTGGTATGGTGTTAATGTTGAAATTAAACCTAGATCCTCTGTAAGGGTAAGTGCTCTTAATGGCTAAGCCATCTCTTCAGGCACAAGAGCTGCATTTCTTCCAAACTCCTAGAAGACAGTAATGCCACAATCTTTCTGGAGCACCCACTAAGTGGCAGAAAACAGAGAAAGGGCCATGGGAGGATTAGAGTTAGTGTTAAGCCTGTCGGAATTTTTGTATCCTTTCTAACAAGGAATTAAGTCTTCCTTCTTCTGTGGCTACTGATAAGAGCTAAAAACAACAACAACAAATCCAAATGGTTTATGAATTTGGAGCAGCTTTCCTCAACCAAAGCACTAATGTTAATTTGGAGCCAGATCATCTCTGTTCTGGGCTGCTGTGCATTAGAAGGTGTGCCACATCACCAGTACTCTACCTACCACTCACTAAGATGATGCTAAGAGAATACTCTCCCAAAACCTCCTATGCCCCTCTGGAGAGTCTCAGCCACACAGAACTCTATGGCTTGAAGCAAAGATGTTAACATTAACAAAAACTAAGTACGATCAGAGCCATACAAATAGAAATGTAATGAGGCCAGTAATAGTGGTGCACGCTTGTAATGCCAGCATCTGATGAGGGGCAGGAGGATCAGGAACTCAAGGGCATCCTCAAAGACCCAACTGCAACACATGGAGAGTGAGAGAGCAGTGACTGATCAGCTGTCTCAAGTTCCTGATGCTATGACCACCATGAAGGAATGTCCCCTCAAACTGAGTCAAAATAAATCCGCACCTCTTTTTTTGTTTCTGTCAGTGATTAGAAAACAAATATTCCCAGCACTCAGGAGGCAGAGGCAGGCGGATCTCTGTGAGTTTGAGGCCGGGCTGAACTGACAGCCTCCAAAACAATAGAGAAACCCTGTCTCGTAAAACCAAAACCAAAACCAAAACCAAAAATACCAGGCACCAGGCTATGCCATTTGTCAGATATAACTAGATTCATTCAGTTGTAAAAAATTTAGTGGCTCCTAATTTTTTAAGATTTATAAAGTAAAATTAGAGAACTAAAAAAAAACAACCACATAGCAGTATCATCTATTCTCATTTATTTTTCTTTTATGTGCATTGGTGTGAGGGTGTCAGGTCCCCTGGAAATGGAGTTACAGACAATTATGAGCGACCATGTGAGTGCTAGGAAATGAACCTGGGTCCTCTGGAAGAACAGCCAGTGCTCTTAACAACTAAGCCATCTCTCCAGTCCTGTATCATTTCTTCTACAAGGGGAAACTTCAAATAATAAAGATAAGAAGACAATTTTGCTGTATAAAAACTAAATGTTTGACTCCTCGGACTGGTATTTGGGAACCATAATACCAAGGACACCAAGCCTAATGCCTAAGATACAACGTGCTGTTAGGAAATGGCTCGTCAAGTTCAATCAAACCAACAACAAATTTAAAAAGCAAGTTTTACCTGGTAATCTCGGAGCCCCACCAATATGATGTCTGAGGTATTTATCCAAACCTATAAAAGAAAAGCCACTGCATAATATATCTCAAATAAAGCAGAATCAAAAATTCCAGAGATGATTTGCTTAGAAACAGATGATTCCCAACTTACTTGGCTATCCACTATGAAAACTGAAAAATGTTGTAGTTTTCTAAGTCTGTATTTGTGTCTTTTACACACCCAGATGTATACAGCTGTCACAACCATTTTCCACGGGAAGGATTGATATCACTAAAATAAAACACTCTCACCCTGAACTCCACTATCACTCAAGAGTGGGGACTTCCCAGAACCCAAAGGGCCATTTGCCAGGCTTTAGTTCTCCTTAACAATGGAATAGTTCTCCAGTTCTTTTCCTCTTTCATAATATCAACATTTTTTCTTTTTAAACTTTATTTTATGTGCACTGGTGTGAAGGTGTAAGATCCCGTGGGTCTAGAATTAAAGACAGCTGTGAGCTGCCCTAAGGGTGCTGAGAATTGAACCCAGGTCCTCTGGAAGAGCAGCCAGAGCTCTTAACTGCTGAGCAATTAGTCCAGCCCAACATCAACACTTTTATTTCAAGACATGGTTTCTCTGTAGCTTTGGAGGCTGTCCTGGAACTCTGTAGACCAGGCTGGCCTCGAACTCACAGAGATCTGCCTGCCTCTGCCTCCCAAGTGCTGGGATTAAAGGCATGCGCCACCAACGCCCTGACATATCAATGATTTCTAATGCCAGGGTTTTTTAATTTTCAGAATATTCCTCAAATTAGATTTGTTAGTGTGGTTTTATTTAACTCATTAAGAGGCCCTAAGATAGCTTCCCTGCAAAACATACCCACCCACACACCACGTCTGTAGAGACGTTTCCTCCACCCTCTTTAACACTTTCATATTAGAATAAAACAAATGTTCTGTACACAAACTTACCTTTTTCCTCAATTTCCCTCTAATATGGCACAGTCTCTTTACACCATCGAAACACATTGCTTCTAATCGTCCATTTCCCAACATTTTAATTACCTGAGCATATTCTACATGGATGGAGTAGAGGAGAAAAAAAGGAATGAAATATTGCTCATTTTTTTGATGAAAGCAACTTTATATCCATTGAAGATTGACAAGAACATGTGGCTGCACTAATTAGGGATAAAAATACATAGGGCAAATATAAAATAAATAGAAGGTAGCTAAACACTCAGCTAGTTAATGGCTGAACCAGAAACAAGTCTTCGTAATATAACAACCTGGGTCTGTTATTAGATGTTTTAATTATCTACTCATTTTCAGTAAGGAGACAGACTGACTACTGCCCTTGTGACTACACTCTACTCCTAGAGATCAAAAAGGTACCATGACCCAGTATGTACACTATACCTCATAAAGTTCATATTCAGATCTTTACCTGTTTTGTATTCATATTTCTCTCTGAATCTTTAGCAATCTCATGGAATCATCAGTAAAAGTACTTTAAATGGTAGTGATAGCCTTGCTGAATTCTTCTTAGAAAGTCAGAAAATGTTTGGTCTCCAACACAGGAAAATACACAAATAGAAAAACATAACATGAGCCAACTTATCCGGCCCCTTACCTTGCCCGTCCTCTTTGAACACCAGCTCTCGCTTTTCAGATTCATTCTCATTCTTTCCTCTACGTCTGTTTTTACCTCCTTTTCCTAGTGGGTTGTTAAAGAAAAGGTTATTGGTTATCTGCAGAACATCAACAGTGTTAAGCATACACTGTTTAACAGACTCAGAAAACTATCTTCAAAAGTCAATTAAATTAAAAAAATTCATCTAATCTGATCAAACATGTTAAACTTACCATGTTCAGGTGTATAAAGTCACCATGTTACCCTCCTTGATTCTCATGGAATTTTCTTTGGGGAGTTTACATCTTAAACAACATCCTCATTTTTCTTTTATTGAAATTGTTTTTCTTTTTTCTTTTTTTGGTTTTTACGAGAAAGGGTTTCTCGGTATTGTTTTGGAGGCTGTCAGTCCAGCCCGGCCTCGAACTCACAGAGATCCGCCTGCTTCTGCCTCCCGAGTGCTGGGATTAAAGGTGTGTGCCACCACCGCCCGGCTTCAAATTGTTTCTCACATAATATATTCTGGTGTATGCCATCTCCCAGTTTCTCCCCACTTTCCCTCCCATCTGAATCTACCCCCTTTCTGTGTCTCATGAGACAATGAACAGGCATCTAAGGAATAATAAAATAAGACACAATATGTCAAAAGCAAACAAATTGGAATATGGCAAAACCAAACAAGAAAAAGAGCTAAAGAAATGCATACAGACACACACATTCTCACACACAGGAATCCCATAAAAATCCACACCCACAGCACTCGGGAGGCAGAGGCAGGCGGATCTCTGTGAGTTCGAGGCCCGGCTGGACCGACAGCCTCCAAAACAATACAGAGAAACCCTGTCTCGTAAAAACAAAACAAAACAAACCCCACACCCAGAAGCCATAATATACAAGCAAAGGAGCTGTCAAGTAAAGTATTTAAAAAACAAAAGCTCTGCTGGGCATCGGTGGCGCATGCCTTTAATCCCAGCACTTGGGTGACAGAGGCAGGTGGATCTCCACAAACTCACAGAGTTGCACAAAGAAACCCTGCTCGAAAAACCAAAAAGCTCTGACTGGACATGTGATGAAAAAGCCTCCAAAGACAAAGATGCCATTGAGTTCCTTTTGTGTTGGCCGTCTACTGCTGGGCATGGGACCAGCTCTTAGGAGTGGCTAGATGACCAATGACCATGCTTGTAACTACTATTTGAGAATGCCACCCACTTACTTGTCACAATCACCTTGACTATTAACAGTTATTTATCCCCAGTTTATCAGTAAGTTCACTAAAGTTCAGATATTAAATAACTCATCCAAAATTTTAGTTAATGAACTTGGGGCACCAGATCCAGTCCTAATCCTTCTCTGTCCTACTAGAGCTCTCATATTAGGGTTCCTTTCTGGAGTAGAATTCTGTCACCACAATTTTAACAATTTGGACCCCAGCCTTTATTTGGGGAGGGGAGGTGACAGATGGGCAGGGAGTCACACTATAGTCTAGGCTATCTTTGAAATGTCTCCTGAATGCTGGGATTACAAATGTGAGCTACCATACTGGGTCCTAATAAATTTTACAAAAAAGACACCTTGCCCTACTCATAGCTGACCCCCTATGAAAGAAGAGTGGTAAAAAATGACAGGAGAGACAAAAATGAAGTTGTTGCTACTTCAATAGAATCAATAGAATGAATTCTTGATGATAGGAGACTAAAAACAGTTAAAGATTTTGAATTTTGTCTTTAATATGCACCATACCTGAGATAGTTTAAGTTTAAATACAAGGAGTTAATTGCGTCTAGAGCCTCCTTGAAAATTTATTTAATGTTTATGGGTGTTTGGTGTGCGTGTCTGTCTGTCCACCACAGACCGAAGGAGGCACTGGATGACCTGCAATGGAGCTACAGACAATTGTAAGCTGCCATGTGGGTGCTGGGAACTGAACTGAAGACCCCTTACTACTGAGTCATCTTTCTAGCCCTACATATTTTAAGGGAAAGTATTCAATGATAGCAGTATACACTGGGACATCACACAGTAATAAAAAGAAGCGTGGTGGTGGACACCTTTAATCCTAGCACTCAGGAGGCAGAGGTAGGGGGATGGATCCTTGTGAGCTCAAAGATAGTGTGGTAACAGAGCTAGGTCCAGGACAGCCAGAACTGCACAGAGAAACCCTGTCTTGTACCTCCCCAACAAATAAAACCAGTATGATAGGTATACTGGTGCTTGCCTGTAATCCCAAGCATTACATTCTCCCCTCCCCCCACTTTTGGTTTTGAGACAGGGTTTCTCTGAGTAGCCCTAGCTGCTCTGGAACTAGTTCTTGTAGATCAGGGTGGCTTTGAACTCACAGAGATCTGCTGGTCTCTGCCTCCCGAGTGCTGGGATTAAAGGCATGTGCCACCACAGCCCTGCCATTCTTTCCCTTTTTATTTTATTGCCATGAAATGAAATGCTATTCAAATTCTCTTTTGAAAGAATGAAGGTCAGATATGTTGGTGCACATCTTTAACCCTGGCACTCAGGAGGCAGAGGCAGGCTGTGAGTTCAAGGTCAGCCTGGTCTACAGAGTGAATTCTATGACATCCAGAGTTTCATAAGTGAGACCCTGTCATAAACAAAAAGAATGAGCGAGACGAAGTTTGAGTGTACGACAAAACAGCAATAAATAGAATAGCCATTTTTTCTTTTTACCCAACTTTCTTTCTAAATGTCTAGTTCTTAAACTCAATCACAGTTCTCAAACTACAGAGGTGTTCCATAAAAGCAACCCAGGTAAGATTTTTCTTAAGAGGCTAGTGACTAGACATGATTTAGTGTGGAAGTTCTGTCTCCTTGGGACCGAGGGGAACCTACTATTCACCTATGGGCGGAGTCACCAGACTGGAGATGAGTAAGTATAACAAGTATTTATTGAGCATCTTTTAGGCTAAGAGCTCTCAAGCTAATGTGATTATGACCGACACCATTCCTGTCCTTCTAGGGCTTAAAACTAGTGTGGGAACTGGAAATCTAGTCACTAGAATTAAGGTGAGAATAAGATAACCTCACCTATTGAAAGTAATCAGTTGTCATCTCAGAACAAGAAGTATACAGACAGAAATTTAAAAATTTTGAAAATCTTATGCCTACAATTACACTTTTCTCAGGATGATCAGTAAAAATTCTCACTTCATAAAAAGACCCGCAACCTTGATTTTTGAGGTCCTGGAGCAGGGTTGGGACAGTGAGTTCAAGGTCAGCCTGGGCCACATAGCAAGGCTATCTCAAATCAATTTGTTCACAAAAGTGTGACAAAGTACTCAGAGGGCTAATGTGAAAAGTGACAGGTACAAAGAGTAGACTCCCTGGAGCCAAACTTTCAAGCAGAAAAGAGTATACTAGCAGGCATGGGGCAAGGGAGGTAGTCCCAAGGATGAATATCAAAGTAAAGTAAGTAAGTGTGTGTGTGTGTGTTGCCCAGGTGGGCCAGAAGAGGGCACTGGATCCCCTAGAGCTGAAGTTACAGGCAGTCATGAGTTGCCCTATGTGGGTGCGGGAACCCAATTTTCCCCAGGAAGACATCTCTTCTGCACAATCTTTGTCTTATCATTTTGGTTTTTCCAGACAGGGTTTCTTAGTGTGGCCTTGACTGTCCTGGAACAGAGATCCTACCAACCTCCTCTCCTGAGTGCTGGGATTAAAGGCATGAACCACCATCAACTGGCCCAGAGGCTGGGTACCATGTCCCCATCCTGTAGGAAATACAAGGTTTTTTTGCTATTTTTACTTGCACAATTTTCGAGAAATTATAAGGACAATGAGTACGTAAAGCCTGTAATTCCAGCTACTTGGGAAGCCGAAGCAGGAGGATCCCAAGTTCAGTGTTAGTCTGGGTTGTTGTAGATTGAGCTCCGGCTTAGGTTTAGTATGGGGACAGAGGAAAAACAGAGTCCTACTAAGGACAGATTTGTCCCTTCAAAAAAACCCATTACCACAAAATACTGTAACTATATAAAAATGAGAATGACCTAAGAATGTGGTACTTCTACTTAGATTAGGCTCTTTTTGGAGATCCCAAATAAAAAGTAATCTCGTGACTGATCAATTGAGAACACTGTTCCCAGAATGGAGGGAACTTCAAAGGTTCTTATTTTTCCATTAAAACAAATACATGATGTGAAGCAAAAGTTGAAAACGTGGCTAAATAGGTTTAAGCCTTGTAAAGCCATACAGTAAAATGATTTTTCTCGAGATAACTTTACAAATGCATCAAAGTAGCCGGGCGGTGGTGGTGCTAATCCCAGCACTTGGGAGGCACAGGCTGTTGGATATCTCTGAGTTCAAGGCCAGCCTGGATTACAGAGTGAGTTCCAGGACAACCCTGTCTCGAAAAATAAATTCATCCAAGTACTGAGCACTGGTTACTCGGGAGCAGCTTCAACGATATCAAGTAAGTCCTATGCTGGCGGTGCCAGATGGACAGGAGAGCAAGGAGGGCTTACTCCTTTTCAAAGTTCAGAGTCGCTCCAAAGGCTTAACTCGCCACGTGCCGGAAGCTCAAGAAGCCCGAGGCAGGTGTTCCCACGGGTCCCCTTGGCGCCCGGGTCAGTGTGGCGCGAATCAGGGGCACAAGCCCACACTCTCACACAGGAGGCCCTACAAAAATGGCGTCGGCTCCACCTCAGTGTGGCCAAACTGGGAACCAGGAGTAACTAACTTCCTTGCGCCTCTGCCGAGCTAAAAGTAGGAAGCAGAGAATACAGCCAGAGAAGAGGCAAGGAAAGATGGCAGGAAGGTCAGTATGGCCTGGGCTGACCTCGAGGCCGCGAGCAGGACCAGGGACGCGCCGGCGAGGAGCGAAGCCGCCGTCCCGGCGTCATTACCTTTATTCTTGGGCATGGCGGCAAGCTGGCGGGGTGTGCGACCGTGCTCCGGATGGCAGCAGAAAAGGCGGTGACTCCGACGGGCGACGCTGAGAAACGCGCGGGATGAAGGCTGTGCGGGAGGCCGAGAAGCGTGCTCGGAAGAGGCTGGTCACCGGCGCTTCCGAGAGCCGCCTGCGCCCACGCTCGGCAGTGGCAAATGGCGTCGCCGCTGCGGGCGGTGCTTTTCCCCGCCCTCCTCCTCCCCCGCCCGCCGGGCCCGCCTCCCGCCCTCCCTCAGCTCGATGGCGCAGGCGTGGCTGAGAGGAAGCCTTCTTTCTGGTGGGAGCCAAGGGAGAAGCCTTCTGGGGAGGGGCCCAGGAGTCCGGAAGGGGCGGGCCCGGGCTCTGCGTCATAGTGGAGGAGCTGAGGGGGAATTGAGGTACTGTGGGATGCCTGCTTAGGGACCGTCTGTGATTCCTAGCCAAGTGAGTCCCCAGCTTGACAAGCTGCTGACTCATTAACCTCATAGTTTAGCTGAGTTTTAACGTAGCCTTTTCATCGGTCCAGCCACTAGAAAGGCTGAGGGGAAGGGGAGAAGTGCTTCGGCCTTCCCTTTCCAAACTTTAATAGAATACTTGTATGGTACTTTAGAAAATTCTGTCCTCCCTAATTTACTGTAGCCAGGTCTGTTGTTTATTCTTGGCACTTAACAGAACGTCTGCACATAGTAGGTTGCTCAGCACACACACACACACAGGACAAAAGGAAGTGATGGAAGAAAAGTTGATATTAGGGCTTGAATCTCCCAAAATTCACGCCAAAGAAGTTCTAACTCCTAATATCTATGTATATGGCTGCATTTGGGGGTAAGATCTTTAAAGAAGTGACTATATTAAAATGAGATCCTTAGATTTGATATCAAGTCAGAATGACTTGGAAAATGACATCAAGCCAGGCATAGAGACATGGGCCTTTAATCCCAGCACTGAGGAGACAGAGAAAGTTTAAAGGCCAGCCAGGGCTACAGAGTGAGAGCCTATCTCGAAAGGAAAACCAAACTGAAGGCAATTAGCACCTAGGCAATAAGGAGGCATAAAGAACACTTCCTGAGCCACTAAACACCTGTAAGCTATGGAAACCTCAGAAAAAGCCAGACTTCTCTCTACCTTGATATTAGAGTTGGAGCCCTCAAAATCGAGTAAAAGAGTAGCCAGGCCTGGTAGTTCACACCTATAATTCTAGCACATGTGATGCTGAGGCAGGAGGATTGCTTCAAATTTGGGGTAAAGCTGGGCCACATAGTTCCAGGCCAGCCTGGGCTATGTAGTGAGACAAAACAAAACACAACCAAGAGACGTACATTTCCGATGTTTAAACAACCCATTACCCATTCTCTGGTTCTTTGTTCTGGCAGTTCCAGCCACGGAATAACTGTTTGGCTAGTCAGAGCAAATAGCTTCACTTCAAAACAGGCTTATTTAGGACAGCAAGATGGCTCAGTAGGTAAAAGCAATTGCCAGGAAAGCCTGGCAACCTGAATTCAGTCCCTGAAACCCATGTAGTTATACTCTGACTACCACACATATCCCTCTTCCAGGAATAATATGTAGAAATTTAAAAGTAGGTTTGTTTTAAATAACCTTTTGGGAAACATTAGCATTTTAACTTTCTATAGGGAAGGAGATCTAATGACAGAGAAATAAGGTATAATCATCTAACAGTGGATTATACCTTATTCTACTCTCTACTGTGGACATTTGGCAGTGTCTGGAGACAGTTCTGATTGTCACAAGTGGAGGAAGGAATCAATGATGTTGATATCTGAGTAGAGACCAGAAATGTTGTTAGACATTCTAGAATTCCTGCCCTCAGTGAAGGATTATCCAGCTAGAAAACAAGAACAGAACTGAGGCTGAGAAACTCAACAGATGTACTTCTCAGAGTGTAATTAAAAGTGACAAGTGTGCTGGGTGGTGGTGGTGCACACCTTTAATCCTAGCACTGTGGGAGGCAGAGGCAGGAGGATCTCTGAGGTTGAGGCCAGCCTGGTCTACAGAATGAGTTCCAGAACAGCCAGGCAGGGCTAGAGAAACCCCGTCTCAAACGAAACAAAACAAAAGGAAAGCTGGGTGTGCCAGTGCACACCTTTAATCCCAGCACACAAAGGCTGCAGGAACCTCTGAGTTTAAGGCTATCCTGGTCTACATATACAGTGATACTCAGTTTTAAAAAAAATGAAAAACGGCAGGGAGTAAAAGTTCTGATTTTCTCTTTTCATTTGCAGTTTTTTTGTAACTTATTTTTTTGAGATTGGGCTACATAGCCCAGGCTACCTCCATCTCTATGGCACTAAGATTGTAGTAATGAACCACCATGCATGGCTGAAAGTCCAAATGATCTAAGACTGGGCTCTGGAGTTTATAGAGACTTGAGTTTAATGTGATTCTACAAAATGTGTTCTGTGATCTTAGTTACATCTTTGTAAGCCTCAGTTTTCTCATCACAGAAATTAACGCAATATATTAGTTTAGCAATTATGCCTAGTACACAAATAATCAGATCCCAAGTGTACAGCCACATGTTTAAAAGTCAAGTACTTCATATAAGGCCTCATAGGAGAAGAAAACCAGGTTTTTTATTCCTTTAGCAAGTTTCCTACATCTGCTCATCAAAATCACTGAGGAAGAGGGGAATCATATGGACATCTGGTCAGAAATATGTAGGCAGAGAAGACAGGAAAGGCAAGGGCCCCTTTGCTGTACCTCTGCTTGCTATGATCAAGAAGTACCAAGGTCAGTGTGCTGATTAGCTTTTTTCAACTTGGCACAAAGTAGAGCTACCTGGGAAGGGAGAATCTTAACTGAGGAATTACCTTCATCAGACTGGCCTGTGGGCATGTTTGCTTGGCATTTTGATTAATGGTTGATGTGGGGTGAGCTAGCTTTTTCTGGGTTGTGCCACCTGCCCTGACTCCCCTCTATAGTGACTGTGATCAGGACATTTAAGCCAAATAAACCCTTCCCTCCCCAAGTTGCTTTTGGTCATGGCATTTATCACAACAGATAGCAAACTAGAACAGATGGTATGACAAACAATACAGCAAGCCAGGGAGCAGTTTGGGAGAGAGAAGACCAAGATTAGAGAGGTAAAGAGACCTCTGTCTCTGTCTCTCTCTCTCTTCGAGACAGGGTTTCTCTGTGGCTTTGGAGGCTGTCCTGGAACTAGCTCTTGTAGACCAGGCTGGTCTTGAACTCACAGAGATCCACCTACCTTTGCCTCCCGAGTGCTGGGATTAAAGGTGTGAGTCACCACTGCCCAGTTGCGGATCTCTGTGAGTTTGAGGTAAGTCAGCGAGTTCCAGGACAACCTTCAAAGCAATGCAGAGAAACCCTGTCTCGAAGAGCCGAGAGAGAGAGAGAGAGAGAGAGAGAGAGAGAGAGAGAGAGAGAGAGAGAGAGAGACAGAGACAGAGACAGAGACAGAGAGACAGAGAGAGACAGAGAGAGACAGTGACAGAGACAGAGAGAGACAGAGACAGAGAGGGAGGGAGGGAGAGGGAGAGGGAGAGAGGGAGAGAGGGAGGGAGGGAGGGAGAGAGAGAGAGAGAGAGAGAGAGAGAGAGAGAGAGATAGAGAGAGAGAGAGAGAGAGAGAGAGAGAAACAAAACAAAAATAGAATGGCTGTGGGGGCCATCCATGGTAGGGCACACCTTTAATCCCAGCACTCGGGAGGCAGAGGCAGGCAGATGTCTGTGAGTTCAAGGCCAGCCTGGTCTACACAGTGAGTTTCAGGACAGCCAGGACTATTTGTTTGCTTTGGTTTTTTGAGACAGGATTTCTCTGTAGCGTTGGAGCCTGTCCTGGAACTCACTGTGTAGACCAGGCTGGCCTCGAACTCACAGAGATCCGCCTGCCTCTGCCTCTCAAGTGCTGGGATCAAAGGTGTGTGTCACCACTGCTGGTGACAGCCAGGACCGTTTCACAGAGAAATCCTGTCTCAAACCACCGCCAGCAAAAAAAAAACAAAAACAAAAACAAAAAAAACCCAAAAACATGCATGAGGTACTGCAAGACAGCTGTGGTGGTTTCAATTAGTATAACTTCTTTGGGGATGATGACATATTCTAACACTAGGCTATCATTAGGGCCATGTAATTCTGTGTAAATAAATGTGCTAAAAACACTGGATTGTAAATTTAAAATGGGCAAAATTTATGGTACATGAATTGTATCTCAAAAAATATTTTGAAAAGAAATGGGAACGGAGTGTGGTGATGGTGCATGCCTGTAATCCCAGCACTTCAGAAGTAGTGACAGGGAAATTGCCACAAATTTGGGGACTGTCTATATACTCAGTTGCAGACAATCCAAAGTCACAGAGTGATAGCTTGTTTCTAAAATACAAAACCAAAGTAAACTAAAACACCTCTAACACTCCCAAACATTTTTTTAAATTTAAAAGATAAAAAGAAATGGGAGAATGTATTTCAATACGGAAAAATGATGGACAAATACTATAAGGGTTTAAGTGCAATTAGAAAACAGAAACTTGCAGTTCCATTTGCATAATTGTATGATTTCATACAACATCCAGAAATGTATAGCTGAATTAAACAAACAGCAAATACTGGAGTTTTGCTCAGTGGGTACGGTGAAAAAGCAAGGATGTAAGAAAGTTCAGGATGAAGCCGGGCGTTGGTGGCGCACGCCTTTAATCCCAGCACTCGGGAGGCAGAGGCAGGCAGATCTCTGTGAGTTCGAGACCGCTAGTTCCAGGACAGCCTCCAAAGCCACAGAGAAACCCTGCCTCGAAAAACCAAAAAATAAAAAATAAAAAAAAGAAAGTTCAGGATGCCTCTGAGAGAGAAGTTTGGGTGACCAACTCTGAGGTTACAAGTTTCAAGATGGATACAAAGGAAATCCAAAGGAGAACTAAAGTAAGAAAGGAGTTTGGGGCAGCTTTTTAGCCAAGTCTGGCAGTTTTGGACTTCTCCAAGAAAAACATTATTTTTCTTTCTTTTTTCTCTTATTTTTGTTTTTTTTTTGTGGGGGAGCTTTTTCTGGAACTTACTCTGTAGACCAGGCTGGTCTTCAACTCACAGAGATCCACCTGCTTCTGCCTCCCGAGTAGTGGGATTAAAGGTGTGTGCCACTACCACCCTGCTCCCAATTGAGAGAAAGTTTTACATTATAAAGTTCTAATCATAAGTAATTGATAAAATAATTGATAAAAGGGACATACATGCTTTACTTGAAACTTTATTATATAAATTTCCATTTCTTTTAAAGATTACAAAACCTGTTCTTTGACAGGAATACAAGCAATATTGTTCCAGGATTATTCATGGATACATTGGAAAGAGCTTAGATTACACATTAATAGTATGATTTGCAAACCTCCCAGATTAGACTCTTAAGTAAAACAACTTAAAGTACTCAATGAAAACTGATCCTCACAAGCATTTCATAACTATGGCAGCAGGGCCAAGCATCTATGCGATTTACCCACCAATAAAAGGTACAACACATAAGAACCCTTGATATGGTACCTTGCTTGGGCTTCTGGCATGCCTTACTAGAGATAAACTAGTATAAAGTAAGATCATATATAATAGTAGAAAAATATTTGTGATTTTTTTCTTTTTTAAAAACTGCTAAAGTAGATACTCATCCCATCCCCGCCCATCGCCAAAAAAATGCAAAATAATTACATCTTTTAGGTGTCTACCTTCCCTTTTATTTAGGGCAAAAGTTAAGATAAACTAATACATGTATATGATTTTGAGTTACACACTCATCACTCATAATCATTAAGGATGCTAATGAATGGCAAACCTTTTTTAAATTAAAAAACAAAGCTTTATAAGGTCAACTACACTTACAGAAACACAACCCAAGTCTTTATCCTCATGCCCTTGCTTTGTACTTAAAAGTTCTACTTTAAATACTTGTTTGAAAAACTCAGTATACAGTTCATTCAGTACTATAGTAATATAGGAATAAAGGTGTTCACTTTCATTGGACATTGAACTAATCTACTTAGAGAGAACTATTATAATGACTCTCTTCTCAAATACATTTCCATATACTGTACTTAAATGGTATGTGCTAGAAGACATTTTCTTAAGGTTCATACATCTGTACTTGAATCTCTAAGTTTTCCTTTTCACTAATCACTAGTCAAAACATCATACACCTTGCTAGTTGCTCTGGGGAAAGTCATGATATTTCAACAGCTTATCATGCAGTTCAAGGTTATATGGCAAAACGATGAGGAAAGTGCCTTAAGAGGTAGGAAGTAGGCTCTCATCCCAACCCTTGCTATGCCCATTATGAACAGGTAAAAGACTGGAATAAAATGGTAAATGTGAGATTTATAGTGACACCAGGTTTAAGAAAATTAAGTTGACTCAATTATTAGAATTTTTAGAGAACTGTCCCTTTGGAACCAGTTACAAGCCACTTAGCAACACAGAATACAGCAGTGTCAAAAACACACAAAGCACACTGTAGATAAAAAAATCTTCTTGGCCATCCATATTTGGGCATTATCACTGTGTAGATTCTTCAGTGCAAAAAGTGGTTAGGTGTGGCTCTGTAGAATACCACAGTCTTTAGAAACTGAATTTATTCCTTCATTAATTGGTCTCCACCAATGGTCACTTGGGGAGATCAGCAAAATGTAAGCAACCTGGGGTTGAAAAGAGGACTACTTTCATTAATTGAAATGAAAACACTGAATTAAGTCAACTTCTCTGTGAATTAAATAAGGCTCAAAGTATACATCCAGTTGGCTCTTGTGGAGGAACAGATACAGAGTTAGACTGGACCCTCCTGGTTTTAAGCACCAAGATCAGCCATGGCATCCATTGCTTTTGTGAGCCACAGAAAATAGACCTTTTTGATACTTTACGTTCCAGAGCTCTCTGAATAATTTCACAAGTCTCAAATTCTTATCATCACACTAAGAACTCATTTTACAAAATAGAGAAAAACAGCCTGAAATATTATAGGTAATTCATAAAAGCCAGGGACTGGAGACTATCAAAGTCATGCTGAGATATATGTTACTGGCCTCCACAGTGAATAGGAACATCTATATTAAGGTCCCAAAGTCTAGAAAGTCTTTGGCTAACTATCATCCCAGGATGAGTCTACTTGGGTCCTTTTCCTATCAATTACATGTCTTCTCTTGAAGCCTCTGCACCCATCTGTTCAAATCCTTCCCTGACTGAGGGTATGGGCACAGCTTTAAGGACACCCCCACTTCTCTTGATTTCTTCTGATCCCAACACAAGCCACATCTAGAGAACAGATGGAAAATGGTTGATCCTCCCAACCTGTTCTTTGAAGTGCAATGCATGCAAAATGTGGAAACGACCACACATACTCTACACCCTCTCTCCAGACACTCAGAACTTCCTCTTCCATATGCCAGCTTCACAGCATCTTGACTTTGAGTCTTGCCAAAATTATTTTTAGAATTTTGGGATTGCTTGTGAAAAACAGATTTACATTACATCTGTTAAATTCAAGGGATTAATGCACTTAAAAGATACCTTTTTAAACAGGAGTTGAAATGATTCATAAAAAGCAAAACAAACAAACAAACAAAAAACTTACCTTAATTTAATATCACTTGAAAGGGAAGATGCAAAACATAGTATTTGAATTTGTAGTTTCCAGTATGTGCTTGCCTATGTTAAATGCATTTCTATTGTTTGGGATGTTATTTTGCATCACAAACCAAGAAATGTCTGTAAAAAGAGTCCTGTCAGTTTAGTTCCTTGTTTCAGTGAAACATAAAAGCAGGGCTGACAACTCTGGGATAAGCCCCAGAGACTGGCAGTGATGGGTGAAAGGCAGAAGACTTCAGGAGCCTTATTAATCCCTTAAGTATGGTGGCCTGTAGGAAATGGACTTTGTGAAATGAATGGAAAGGCTAACCAAGCACAAGAACTACATTGTTGGCTGTTTGCCCTAAGAGAGTGTGAACACTAGAGCCACAGATGAAGTGACTTATGCTCCTAACCTGTTTTGTCAGTAAGAAGCCTTCAGTTTTGTGAATCTATAACTTGCTTTTCTCCAATAAAACTGGCAGCTTAACTAGACAAATAAGGCAATTCTTAAAGGAAATAAATTTGGCATCATATAGTAGAGGACTGCCCTAAAAATACATGATTTTGACTTTAACTCCTTTTGGTGATAATGTGAAAGGCAGCATGGTGTTATGAGGAAAAACTAAACTAGAGATGGGATAAATTGAAGAATCTGACATACTGAAGAGTGGGAAAGGCTTTCTTGCAAGGCAATGGAAAGCAACTTTGAATATTTAGCATCCACATACACAAGAACTTCAGTAGTTGGTACATAGAACTTCTGGCATCCCTCTAATACATATTTTTCATTTAGAAGATAAACTTACATTTGGTTTCTATGCAATCATCATTTTGTGTTGCTTGGGCAAAGGCGGTATTAGAGATTTTGTCTTTCTCTTTAATAGCACAGAAGATACAAAATGACAAGTGTCTTTTATGAACTGCAAATGCACACTCTTGGGTTCGTACTCTAAGTGAGATTTCTGATGTAAATGGCTCAGTAAATGACTCCCATCTACTAGGGCACATTCCTGCTGAGGTAAGTTAACTCCCTTTTTTTCTTTGCTCATGGTTTTCGCATCACATATTAATGTACACTGGGTAGTGTGATACAGATAGGGGTAATGAATGGTACAGAAGTTTCTTTTGTCAATGGAACTGGAAACTAGCAAGTTAGATATAGATACTGAACACTGCACAGCCAGGGGCCATTATGAAAACTGGTTACTACTGAAGTCAAAGGAAACATAAATAATCAGCAGGATTCAGGAAACAGTCAGTGCTGATCAGTCATTGAGCCTGCCTCAGTTATGACTTCAGGTTAGAACAGATACTGTTTGGCCAAGAATATTTTATTCTCTAGAATAAGAAAGTTTAAATCCAATTTCATATGGAGGCCTGTGGCCTTTATTATATTCAAATTAGTGTTTAATATAGAATATATGTTTAAACATGAAATATCCAGTAAGGCTTTAATTACCAGTTGCTAAGTTTTCCTTTTCCAATTTCTTTACTATGATTCTTTTAAAGGCCTTCGATGTATGTTGGTAAGATTTCAAACAATATGCCAAATACCACATATGAGGATTATGTAAGTTTAAAAGTTCAAGGATTACTTCCTTAATTAAGGAAAAGAAACCCTAAGAAATCACAAAGTATGTGGACTAACTTCATAGGTGTATTCTTGATTTCATGCCACACACACAACAACTTTCTCTACCATTAACAGCTCTTTAGGTTAGTCTGACAGAGCACCTGACTTGAAGAAACAAATGAACAAACCAGTGAAACAGACAGGGGAAGGTATGTACAATTTGAAAGAATTACATTCAACAGCTGTTCAATCAATCTGGCCATCTTTAACGTTTCCCAACAATACCGCTAATCCACATGAACTATTTATCCAGATTTAATAGTCAATTGATTAATAGATTCCAAGTTAAACAAGGCATGTATACATCAAAGAAAGCAGTACAGAAATGTACTGTATATGAACTGTTTACAAAAACATACAAAATGTTGAATGGCACAAGGGATACAGTGCTAATATAAACGGATTGTTTAAGCTAAGTGCTTAACATAAACTGTCCATCCCTATAACCAATAAAGACTATTTAGGGGACATGAAATATTTCCTATAAAAATAATGCTATATGGTGTAGAGTACTTTTATTCAGTGTATTTTAGGTGGTATTCATGTGTTCATTATTTTTCTTGTTGATTCAGTGATTATATCTTCATCATGTTTCCATTTTCATTTCGAAGCTCCAGGAAAATCTAACTTGCTAACAATCAATTAAAGCGAGAAGAGACGAAAGCAGGAGCAGCAGCATTATGGGTACCAGCTGGGACATTGTGTGCTTGCAGGTGTCTCTCAGGTATGTGCTACCTGTCGCCAGGACTTGTGCTATCAGCTTACATAATGGTACCAAATATCTCACTGAGGTCACTTCACAGGGCTGTTGAGGTGATTTTTTTAATGCCTCTCCTCTGAGCAAGAGTAGAGCGGCCTACTGGTTCCAAAACTGGTGACTGATTGCGGTTTAAAGCAGAGTATGTAGCTGCCATGGCACCCTGAGAAAAGCAAAGAAAGGTTACAAGAAAAATGACATGTATACAAATAGAAAATAAAGGCCCCTTCCAGGGATTTTCATATATAAATGAATATAGATCTTTATCATTCCCATAATGAGAATAACCTCTGGTCAATTTTTCAGATTTAACTAAAAACTGAGGCCAATGTGAAAGGCGGAACTTTTGTATGAGAAAGGACAAGGAGGGGCTCAAGTAGAGCCCTCCTCACTTTCCTTAGGGTCATTTCATTTGTCTTTATAACCCCATAATATGAGAGGCTGTAAACCATTATCTTTCATTTAGAAAAATTCATATTCTGTCTTATATTGAACCATTATGTATACAGAATGACAGAAATACAAAAGTTTTCCTTAAGCTAACTTAATTACTGATATTCTGGTATGCCTTGTGCCACCATGCCCCCAAGTCATTAGGTACCCATGTACAAGAATCCCATTCTAGAACTTGTAAACAAGGAAAAGGAAAGTGGCTTGGGGCATTGAGACAGGCTTCTTGGAGGCTCAGCTGGCCTTATCCATCCCGGAGGCCACACAGAAAGCAATGACTGGATATAGGGCTGTTCACCTTTACAAGATGTGGTGCATCCTGTCTGTTTAGTTGGTATTGTGGCAGTTGGTCCCAGTGCACAATCCAAGGATGTCTGAGCACAAGAGCCGCAGTCAGTCTCTGATGAGGATCTACATGAAGCATCTTTGACACCAGGTCCTATCAGGTGAAGGAGAAGAATAAGACAAGGTCAACTCTCCTTTTTTTCTCTTTTGTTTCTACGATGCTTGATATTGTCAGTATTCTTCTTCTGCTTTTATATGCTCTATTTCCTGGCAGTTCTATTTCCTTTTGTCACAAAGCAAATTTTAGGATATGTTTGTGAGAAAAATACTCTGATCTCTCTTTTCTCTTCTCCAAGTACCACAATTTTGTTATGGTGCAAAGGATCAGTTTACTCTAGCTTTTCTTAGCTTTGCTCTAATTATAGAGGTTTATAATATCCAGAGAGGTCTGGCCTTACACAATTTTAAGTTCAGCAAGGAAGATGCAAAGAATCAGTTATAGAACAAGGTAAAGTCTCTGATGGTATGAGCAAGTGCCAAGAACAGCTAGAACACAGATACCTGATCTGAACTGAAGATGACTTCAAAAATGTCACTTTTGAATGTTACTTTTTTTGAGACGGAGAGTTGCCAAGAACCCCCAATTAGTTTGGTACTCTCTATGTAGCTCAGTCTAGTCCCAAACTTTTGGCAAGCCTCCTGTCTCAGTCTCTTGAGTGCTGGGAAAGATGACTTTTTTCCGTTTTGGTTTTTCGAGACAGTTTTTCTCGGTGGCTTTGGAGGCTGTCCTGGAACTAGCTCTTGTAGACCAGGCTGGTCTTGAACTCACAGAGATCCACCTGCCTCTGCCTCCCGAGTGCTGGGATTAAAGGTGTGCTACACCAACACCTGGCTCAATTCAAGTTTTTCTAAGGAAAGTCAGTGAACAGTGTTACCAATGTTTCTTCAGTCTCTTTTGTGTTTTTCTCATTTGATGTGGAAGTTTACTCCTTTTTTAAAATAACAACTTTCCCTGAAGTAAGTGAAAGTAGTGTTAGTCTAAGAATGGTATCTCTAGAGCCAACTGTTTCTGAATGATTTCCAGCAACCAGGCTATAAACCAGGCTATTATGAATTGTGAGCTGAGTCCCTGTTCTTCATAACAAATCAAAATGAGGACATAGTGTAACTCTTTAGGGAACAATTCCTCTGCAGTGAGAGTTTCAAGTGCTCATATGTACCTGGTGTAAAATTATAGACAAGTTTATACTAAAACTCTATTCCTTGCTTTCACTGTGTGAAATGGGGATATAACCATCTATTTTACAAGTTTTTATGAGGCCAAGCAAGTGCAGTGTGAGGCACAAAGTAGGCAGACAAGTCATAAAGATTGCCATCATTATTATTCATCATGCTTGAAAGTAAGACAAAAACTTACAATGTATGCAGATAATAAGGCTAATCTCATGTCCTTTAGGAAAGCCATATGATAAATGGTCCTTCTGTAATTGAAGATATTTAGTAATTTCACTTCAACATACTACTTTATAAACAAAAACTTTTATATTTTTGGTTGTGAGTCTAGCCTTTAACGGCTGAGCTATCCCTTCAGTCATACATTTACACAATGGAGTACTACTTAGCAGAAAAAAACAACGAAATCTTGAAATCTGCAGGCAAATGGATAGAACTAGAACAATCCTGAGTGAGGTAACCCAGAAACAGAAAGACAAACATGGTATGTACTCTTTCATAAGTAGATATTAGACATAGAGCAAAGAATAACTAGCCTACAATCTACAACCCCAGAGAAACTAGGAAACAAGGAGGACCCTAAGAAAGATATACATGGTCCTCCGGAGAAGGAAAGGGATAAGATCTCCTGAGTAAATTGGGAGCACAGGGGGAGGGAGGTAGGAGAAAAAGGAGAGGAGGAGGGGGAGGAGAACATGAGGGATCAGGAAGGTCAAGTTGGGGGAAGAACAGAGAAAGATATCAAGAAGAGAGATACCTTAATAGAGGGAGTCATTATGGGCTTAACGAGAAATCTGGCACTAGGGAAATCTCCAAGGATGACCCCCAACTGAGAGTCTAAGCAATGGTGCAGAGGCTATCTTGGGTGCTCTTCCCCCTATGATGAGATTGATGACTACCTTGAATGCCATTGTGGAGCCTTCACCTAGTGGTTGATACAGAAGCAGAAATTCAAGGCTGAACACCAAACCGAGCTCCTGGGGTCCAGTTGTAGAGAGGGAGGAGTGCTGAGCAAAGGGGTCAGGACCATGCTGGGGAAAGCCACAGAACCAGCTAACCTGAGCAAGTGGGAGCTCACAGACCCCAGAATGACTGCTGGGGAACCAGCATAGGATGAAACCAGGCCCCCTGAAAATGGGTGTCAGTTGGGGGGTCTGGGCAGTCTATGGGGCTTCTGGCAGTGGAATCAGTATTTATCCCTGGTGCACGATTGTGCTTTGGGAGCCCATTGCCTATGGAAGGATACTCTTATCAGCCTAGATACACCACAGGGGAAGATCTAGATCCTGTCTCAAATGATGTGACAGACTTTGATGATCCCCCATGGGAGGTCTCACCCTCCCCGAGGAGTGGGTAGGGGGTGGGATGAGGGGTTGGTGGGGAAAATGGGAGGACAGGAGGGAGAGGGAACTGGGATTGGTATGTAAAATAAGATTATTTTAAATTTAAATAGAAATCAATTAATTAAAAAATACACAAAAAGGTTCTGTTAGTGTTTCTTCTTCTTTTTTTTGGTTGTTTTTTTGAGACAGGGTTTCTCTATGGCTTTGGAGGCTGTCCTGGAACTAGCTCTTGTAGACCAGGCTGGCCTCGAACTCACAGAGATCCGCCTGCGTCTGCCTCCCAAGTGAGATTAAAGGCGTGCGCCACCAATGCCCGGTTTAGTGTTTCTTCTAATCATGGATTGTGACAATTTTTTTCTCAAAAGTTTTTAGTAGGACCTAGGGAGATAAGTCGGTCAGTACAGTGCTTGACACAAACTAAGGGAAGAGGGGACTTTTTTTCTGTTTTTTTGAGACAGGGTTTCTCTGTGTAACAGCCCTGGCTGTCCTGAAACTCTCTCTGTAGACCAGGCTGGCCTTGAATTCACAGAGATCTGCCTGCCTCTCCCTCTTGAGTGCTGGGATTAAAGGAATGCACCATCACTGCCTAGCCATAAGAGGGAACTTTAAGCAAGGATTTGCCTCCATTAGACTGGCCTATAGGACTGTCTATGGAACATTTTTTAAAAATAGTTTTTTAGATTTACTTTGTGTGTATGGGTGTTTTGCCTTCATGTATGTATGTATGTACATCACATGCATACCTAGGGCCTCCAGAGGTCAGGGGAAAGCATTGGATCTCCTATAACTGGAGTTATAGATGATTCTTTTTTTCTTTTGGCTTTTTTGAGACAGGGTTTCTCTGTGGCTTTGGAGCTTGTCCTGGAACTAGCTCTTGTAGACCAGGCTGGTCTCAAACTCACAGAGATCTGCCAGCCTCTGCCTCCCGAGTGCTGGGATTAAAGGTGTGCACCATCATGTGGGTGCTGGGAACTGAACCCAGGTCTTCTAAAGAGCAACAAAGTACTCTCGATCATTGATCCATATCTCCATTGATTAATGGTTGGCAGTGCCATCCATGGGCAAGTGGTCCTGAGTTATATAAGAAAGCAGGCTGAGCAAGCCATGGAGAGCAAGCTAGTAAGTACCATTCCTCTATGGCCTCTGCCTCAGTTTTTGACTCAACTTCCTTCCATGACTTCCCTCAATGATGGACTCTGATCAGAAAGTGTTAAGTCAAATAAACTCTTTCCTCTCCAAGTTGATTTGGTCATACTGTATATAATAGCAATAGAAAACAACTAGAACATTGTGCAAGCATGAGGACCTGAGTTTGATCCCCCAGTACCCAAAGAAAAAGCTACATTTGTATTTTTGTCAAATGTTGGAGAAATCTCCCAGCACTAAATCAAAGGGAAAGGCTATGTAATGTATGGAAGCTACCACTTTCATCCCTGGGCTAAATGGGCAGGCGTTCATACTGCTGATGCCCCAATAAGAGGGAATTCCTTTCTCTGGGGCTGGTTAAGTGATCCAAAGCTTTTTCCTATATCTCTAGGGGTAAAGACACAAACAGTTAATTTCCTAGATTAAGATCTTGTATCACTGAAACTGGGGCAATGGTAAATACAAAATATTAATAGCTTGTTAGGGTAGAGCAGGGGCCAGTAGTCTATACTCTCCTGAGTCGGCTGTTACAGAATCAGGGCTGCCCAGTCCTGCTTATCAGTGAGGGCAGGCATGCTGTGTCTCCTACTCAGTGCCTGTCTTTGAGGCTCCAATTGTAGTCTGTTTGCTAGTCTCCTCTACTTGTTGGATATACTGCCATAAAAGATAATTGTAGGGAGCTAGCTTCTAAGTTTTGTAGATCTGACTAAGAAGTATCTTAGACTGAGTAAATACTTTCACACCAGGGCTCCCCAGTGTGGGGTAAGGTCATTCAGTTTACCAGTACAAGAGAGATTTATGCCCAATAATTGATTAATACACTTCGGGGTTTTTTTTGGGACGAATCCCACTATTGAAAAGGGGGCACTATGGCTTCACAAGGGTTTTCCAGAAATGACAGCAACTATTCAAAAGGTAGGTATCCCCACAGTTCTATAAATTGGGTTTCCTCCAATGGCATGTGTGATGATCCTGGTGGGTCAGACTCATGATTTTGTCAACTGAGATCTCACTGTATAAACCTGTGGCCTGTAGCAAACACTGCTGCATGCACTGTCTTAGAGCTGGGGAGGCAGAGACAGGTAGATCTCTGGGGTTCAGTAAAGCCTAATTGGTGAGCCCTAGACCACTAAGAGAACCCATCTCAAAGTAAGCAAGTAAGCAATACCCCTCAAGTTGCATGGCCACTATGGAAAAGACACCCAGAATTTTCCTTTGTATTCCACATCCTTTTGCACACACATCTGTCTGCTCATTGACAAACATGCAGACACATCAAAGACTCTATTCCCCTGATAAAAAGTCTATAATATGGCTGAGGGTATAATATTTCAGTGGTAGAATGTGTGCTTAGCATATATGATGTCCTGAGCTCAATTCCTAGCCCCTGGAAACAAAACAAAAGTAAACAACCATGAAATTGTTAGTCTGTTGGTTTCTGTCAGCTTAGTGGCAGAACCTGAATCTACACATACTTTAACTATACTCTGTACCCCAGGGCCCCCTGCTGCTCAGACTGCAGCCTAGTGGGATTTCAGGTTTGCTGGCACTGGCTCAACCTTGGCCACCAAATGTAGGTTTTAACTAAGTCTCTATTGTTCTATTTACCAATAAAAACTCGGGAGTCAGATGTTGCAGTGAAAACCTGCTATATCAGAGAAGTCAAAAAAGCAACCAACTGATCTTCCTTTTTTGGCTGGAGACACAGCAAGAGAAGTTTCTCTTTACTTGTCTCAAACCAAAAAACCCCACAAATTTCTAAGTCCCTCCCTACTCCTTCCTGTGCATCTCTCTATCTGTATTCCTGGCTCCTCCATCTCTCTATGATTCCTGTCAACTAGTCAGTGGCTCCACCCCCTGATCCAAGATTAATTTCATTTATTCAATCTTGGAGTTTCACAGCGTGATCAAATATCCCACAACAGAAGTTATACGTACCTTTGCTGTATCTGAAACGGAATTCCAGTAACCACCACTGAGTGAGAATTTCCCGCTACCTATCCGAGCCAGTATTTCTTCTGGGGTATCATCAGGACCATTTGCAAATGGAGTGTAACTAGATTATAATAAAGTTAAAATGTCAATAAATAAAATTTCTCTTGTAGTTAGTAATGTTTACATTTACTTATAGTTTCTAAAAATATTCTGAGTAGTTCAGCTAATGTAATACTTTATTGGAGTCTATCCAAGTAAATAAAGACAGTAACATGAAGCTCCATAGGTCAAATAATAGGTTATATTAGACTTTGTGGTAGTTTGAATGAAAATGGCTTGACATGCTCATAGGGACTGGCACTATTGGGAGGTGTGGTGGAGTAGGTGTGGCCTTATTGGAGGAGGTGTGTCACTGAGCGAAGGCTTTTAGGTTTCAGAAGCTCAAGCTCAAGGTCTCATTCTCTTCCTGCTACCTATGAATCAAGATGTAGAACTCTCATCTGCCTTCTCCAGTACCATGTTTGCCTGCATGCCACCATGATTGCTATGATAAAGTGTGGTGAACCCTGGCAGATTCCACGGCATTCGAGGATGACCTAGGCAGAGGGATAAATATGCCAGGCAGACAAAGCTTAGTGAGAAGTTTTATTAGGATGGGAAGGGGGAAGAAGGGAAGAGAAAAGAAATAAAGAGGCACAGAGACAGAGAGAAGACAGAAGAGAAGAGGGAGACAGGAAAAGTTCTGTCTGCCCCAGGGGAACAGCAGGAAAGGCAGCGGGAAAGAGAGAGGGAAAAGCGACGAGTGGAAAAGAGAGGAGCAGGAAAGAGAGTGGAAAGAGAGACTAAGTGGGCGGAGGTCTTTCTTTTAAAGGGGTCCTTTGCACCTGGGCTAACCAGGGTACTGACAGGTGACAGGGGCAGGCCAGCATAATGCCTGAATCCTTACAACAGTAATAATGAACTAAACCTCTGAACTGTAAGCCACTCCCAATTAAATGTTTTCCATTGTAAGAGTTATCATGGTCATGGTATCTTTTCATAGCAATAAAACCCTAACTAAGACAGACTTAATATGCAATATATGTATTTAAAATTATGACAGTCTAGAATAATGTATCAAAACAGCACAATTATCACATAATTAGAATAAAAGTATGGAAAATAAATTCAAGATCATAAGATATTAAAACACAGCTATAGCCAAGTGTGGTGGTACCCATTTAATTCCAGCACTGGAGAGGCAGAAACAAGCAGATCTCTGTGAGTCTGAGGCCAACCAGGACAACACAGTGAGACCCTGTCTCAAAATCAAAATGAAAAAGGAAAGCTAATTAACAAAGGATACAGCTATAAATATGATATAATGATAGCATGGGAAACATGGAAAGATATTACAATACAGGGATTTAAGAAGCCTACCCCATTTAAATAAAATATTGATGAATATTTATGAATATTATGGTACTCGCTTACCCAGTAAGCATTGTATAAAGGAGGACACCAAGACTCCATATATCACAGGCAGCATCATAACCTTGTCGTTTCAAAACCTAGAAAAAGTAAAAAGCAATGATTACCACACTAATCTTTTTTTTAATGGATAATGTGCCCACCTTGTAACAAGGTTTAATGGGCAGCACACATCATGCAGTGGAGTGAATTCCCAATCATCACGCTTATGAACCAAAAAAAAGATCTACACTAATATCTTTTTTAAAATATTATTTATATATTTGTGTATATGCCAGCTTGTCTGTATGGTTTAATGGTCTGCAAGTCTTGCTCCCAAGCAACTATCAAGGGTAACTCAGGGAAGGCTTCTCCAGAGCAAGGATTGAAAGATTTCTATAATAACTTCACACACAATCTGTTCAGGTCAAGCTCTTTATTATTCTGCCTCTAGTTTCAAATCTCTGCAGTTTATATACACATACAACAGCAAATCTTTGGCAATAGAAAGGTTACAAGACTATTTTTCAGAATCACAAAGCATTCCTTTTGAATAGATAAGAGACACACACAGCAATAACTCACCAGCTTTTTTATGGCTTACAGCAGCTGTGGATGTAAAAAGTTTTGGCTATCTCTTAAAGGGGAAGGGGTCACAAACAGGGAAAAACTAAACCAAAGGAAAAAATGTAAGGAGGAATCAAAGAATTCCTGTACTATTCTACATTGTTTTTGGTTTTTCAAGACAGAGTTTCTCTGTATTGTTTTAGAGGCTGTTCTGGAACTTTGCTTTGTAGACCAAGCTGGCCTCGAACTCACAGATCCACCTGCCACTGCCTCCCGAGTGCTGGGATTAAAGGCGTGTGCCACCAACGCCCGGCCTATTCTACATTTCTTAAGTGTAACTAAATTCATAAGCTAAAAGTTTGTGACCAGTAAAACGTGAAAAAGCAAAATGCCCTTGTCTTCTCAGTGCATAGAATGTAGCTGTGCTTCAGAAGCCATGTCAGTGCGTAACCATGGCAACCCGTGTAAGGGAAGGGAGAAACATACAGTGCTGATTTGAATAGGCATATTCACCAAATGTTAACTGGCAATAAAAATTCTTTCAAATATGAAAATATATTTTCTGCCCTATGTGACTAGAACAAAGAGGGGACCTGTAACTATTTTGTACAAGGTTGGAACCTGACACCTCCCAGCCACTCTGGCCATCTGCATGTTCACTTCCCATGCGAGAAAGCTATCTCCCTCTGGAGATGGTTAATTGGTTAACAACCTCTTTCTGTTAATTATAAAAATTTCAGGGCTTAAACATAAAGTTAGTCTCCTAAGCTTAAAATATTGTATCAATGAACTTTGTATAAAGTGTACACAAAGTGATACTAGCCTTTGGGGTCAAACAGGGAAGTGCTGCAGTTTCTATAAAGGCAGGCAGGTTGAGTTCAGAACAACTCTGTTCTCTTAATCTCTGAGGGGCTCTGATTTAACAAATCCAGATGCACTGCAATTCTGTCCTTAAGTAGTATCTGTGAAGGTCCCACTAGTTCTATCTACAGAGACACCTCACCTGGCCAAATTGTCCTGTCAGTGAGATAATTACAGAGAACAGGCCTCTAAGTTTCTTATCTTAATGTGGAACAGAAGTCTGACTGTGACTTATTTCTTCACCAGAATCAGTGTTGGGAGAAGTCATCCATTTATCACTACACAGGAATAATTGTTTCCAACAAATGAGGAATAGACTGCTAAGGTTGTGGGTTGTGGGACAAGTTCCAAAGTTGTATTAGAGGGGGACGCTGTTACCACACAAGAGAGTTGCAGTTAAAGGCAGCCAGCTATTCAAAAGACAATTTCCTCACAGGCCATGCCTTGTGAGTTTTGTCCTCCAACAGATATGTGTATGTCTGGTGGGTTGGCCTTCTAAATATCACATGTAATCTATTGTGTAATCTTGTTGACTCCATCATTATGTGTACCACAAAGGCCATGAGATGGGTCTGATCTCATGGAACTAGAGTTATAAATTATTTTTAGCTGATTCTTTGCAAGAGCAGCAACTGCTCTTAACTGGAGTCATCTTTGCAACTTCTTCAGTTTTTTACATATATTTGGATATTGAATTTTCCAAGTCAATACACATAAGAACTTTAACAAAACATGATTAACAAATCATATAGTAATCAAATATTAGAACATTCTGGTTATATACATTTATGTATATTATATTAAATTCATATATACCTTCATAAATGCACATATAAATCCACAATGTATAACTGTATATAATTTATAAATATAGATCATAAATATTAATATATTATTAATAATTAATAATATTAATAAATATTAATTTAACACTGGTATTGAACATTTATTATGTACTGCTGTGGGTACAGAAGGATACAGGACAAATCAAAGGTAATTTTTGTTTACATATTTCTTCTTCATTTTTTTTCTTCAGATATGAGGACTGAACCCGGGGCCTTGTGCTTGCTAGGTAAGCACTCAACCATTGAGCTAAATCCCCAATCCTTACACATTTTTTCTTGAGACATAATCTCACTATATGGTTCTGGCTGGCCTGGAATTCACTATGTAGACCAGGCTGGTCTAGAACTCTGAGAGATCCACCTGTCTCTGCCTTAGTGCTGCGATTAAAGGTGTCTGTGTAACTACACCCAACAAGTTTCTTAATGAATTTCTATTTTGAATGGGGCTATAGAAATTACTATAAACAATACTTTTTGAGACAGAGTTTCACTTGATAGTCCAGGTGAGCCTCAAACTTCCTATGTTGTCAGGGCAGGTTGTGCACTCTTGATTCTATACTGAGCTTCCTTAGTACTAGGATTACAGGCATGCCTCTCATACCTGGCAAATAACACTTTTAAGAACACATGTAACCTCATACTAATAATACAGTGCTAAAACCACTAATTTGTATATTATTTGATTCACTCATTTAATCATCATCACTGATTATTATCAGGCATGAATTATGACAAATTTTGGAAAAGATTACTTTCTTTAAAAAAGATTCTAGCAAAGGAAATCAACATATAGTTAACAATTCAACATAAATATTATAACAAAATCAGGTTAATAAAGACTGTGATACTGAGATGAATACATGATTTACTCATTTTGTGGAGTTGGGGATCAAATCTAGGACTTCCTATAGTTAGGAAAGCACTCCATTACTGAGGTATAATTTGAGCTCAAGTTAATTCTTGATATGGGGAGAGAGTTAGCTAGTTTGTATTGAACCTACAAGTAATATGTCTGTAGGCAAAGAGAGGAGGCAGAGGGCAGTCAAAAGTAGAAGCAAAGGACAAAGCTGTGTGTGGTGGCTCACATCTGTAATCTCAGAACTTGGGAGGCTGAGGTGGATCACTGCAAGTTCAAGACCAGGCCGGGTTCAGAATTGAGACCCTGTCTCAGAACAAAACGGGAGGACAGAACAGTGTTAATGATAGGCAAAATAGTACAAAGTGGCTAGAGCTTCAGGAAGAGGACACCAGTGATGGGGGAAGTCCTGTGCATTTGTCAATAAAGTACTGTTGAGCCAATAGGAAACCTAGATAGGAGGGACTAGGAGTCGAGGAGGATTCTGGGAAGGAGAAACACAGAGAGTCAACATGTAACCGCCATGGGGGTAGGAGCCCAGAACTATTCTCCGGTAAGAGACATACTTAGATTAACAATTATGGGGTATTTACTTAAAGCAGAGCTAGCCAGTAAGAGACAAGCAAGGCCAACAGCTTGCTAATTAATACAGCGTCTTGGGTGTTATTTGGGGACTAAAAGGTGGCAGAGCCCAGGCGACTGGCAGGGGATATCCCAAAGCGGCTAGCAAGGAAAAAGCTTCTTTTAACACACCAGGGAAACTGAAGAGCTTTTGTAATATCTTACTAGGGAGTTTACATTTTTCTCCTGCAGGCAATCTGATGCCATTGAAGCATTAGACAAGGAAATTGGCATTTTATTTCAATGATCAGTTCAGTGATTCTTCAAGTAAACAATAATTAACTATTCTATATTAAAGATAGAAAATGAGTTCTTAAAGATAGAAAATGAGTTCTTAAATATACCCAAACACAGCAAGCACACTTTCTCACAATTACCTCTGGTGCAACAAAATTTGCAGTATAACAAGGAGTCATGAGAAGACCATTTTCTGCTCTCAGCTGTTTTGCAAAGCCAAAATCACAAATTCGAATAGATTCTGGATTACCAGATTCATCCACATAAAGAATGTTGCTAGGTTTCAAGTCTCTGTGAACCACCTAGTTGAAATACAAATCAGAGATTTATGTTAACACAATACATTTTCCCAATGAAAATTTTTTTATTCTCATACTGGCAAACAATACACCTAACAGGCTGATGGATGCAGTATCCCAACATTATAAAATGCTATTAATATAAGTGTAGCTTCCTAACACTGACTGACCTGGGCATAAGGAGGAGGAAGAGACAATATTACTTACCTATTTCCTCTTTGTCCAACTGGGTTAAGGAGAAATACAAATAGCAAATACACCTATCTCCAGATAATTCATTCATTTTATAACAGTTATCCAGTTTCTACCATGTGCCACGCAGCAGACACTGTAAATAAGACCCACAAGATCCTGACCTTTTCATGCTAGGCACTTACAACATAGTGGAAAGGAATATAACAGACAGGTTCAGGTAAGTCTTTTTAAAGAATGGGACAGTTTTGAGATGAAATAATATCTGACCTAAGACCTAAAGTAGACACTTTAAACAAGTCATGAAAACGGTGAGATGAAGCTATTCTGAAGTGAGGGAATAGCATATTTCAAGATAGGAATAGACTATCTCGAAAAACCAAAAAAAAAAAAAAAAAGATAGGGAAACAATAAGTACACAAACTAGCATGTTAAGAGTAAAAACAAAGCCAGGCGGTGGTGGCGCATGCCTTTAATCCCAGCACTCGGGAGGCAGAAGCAGGCGGATCACTGTGAGTTCGAGATCAGCCTGGTCTACCGAGCGAGTTCCAGGACAGCCTCCAAAGCCACAGAGAAACCCTGTCTCGTAAAAACCAAAAAAAAAAAAAACCAAAAAAAAAAAAAAAAGAGTAAAAACAAGGCTGTAGAGATGGCTCAGAGGTTAAGAGCACTGGCTGCTCTTCCAGAGGTCCTGAATTCCATTCCCAGCAACAATATGGTGGCTCACAACCATCTGAAATAAGATCTGGTGCCCTCTTCTGGTGTGCAGGCATACATGCAGACAGAACACTGTATACAATTCAAATCCAGCTGGGCGGTGGTGGTGCATGCCTTTAATCACAGCACTCGGGAGGCAGAGGCAAATGGGTCTCTGTGAGTTCAAGGCCAGCCTGGTCTACAGAGCAAGTGCCAGGATAGGCTCCAAAGCTACACAGAGAAACCCTGTCTCGAAAAACCAAAAAAAATTCAAACCAAACCCAAATAAAATGTCATTTATTTGATGTACAAATAAAGACGTCACATACACAAAATCATTCTCTTTTTAAAAAGTTTAGATTTGATTCATTTTTCAACCACCAAATTCAAAGTCCACATGCTAATCACCTTAGTTTTAGTTCATAACATCTAGAACATTAATGTTATTTTCGTAATTAACTGATAAAGGACGGGGAAAAGAACACAGAAAACTTGGATAACTGTAAAGCTATCAGTTGTTTAGCAAATATTGTCCTCTACCAACTTCAGGGTACAGGATTAGGCAAATTCACTATCTCACAATCAGAAAGCTAAAGATCTAACTTGTTATCTTTTAAGGGCAAAGAGCATAACAGCTCAATATAAGTATGCTAAAATTTCAATGTACTTCAGGCTCAATGAACAAGGTTTGTATAAAGGAAAAGCAGGACAATGAAGCTCATTAAAGTTTTCTATTACTTTTATATTTTTAATTTTAGTTTGAGTATTAAAAAGGATGTGCTTATATAAGTATGTGTGTGCATAAATTATGTTCAAAAGACTTACCCCTTGTGCATGAAGATACTCAACAGTTTTGGTTATAGTAAACAGGACAGCACTGGCCTCTCGCTCTGAGAAAAACTTCTGTCTAAGAATTTTATCCAGCAATTCACCTCCTTTCATAAGTTCTGTTACCACATACACATATTTTCCATCATCATACACCTATAAAATTTAAAATAAAAACATAAAAAATTATTTGAAGCTTTATGAATGTCTCTAAATTACTACTTAAACATACTAAAGATTAAGTGATTATATTAAAAGATCCAAAAATTGCATATTCAAGAAAAATTTACTTGTGAAAAACCAATACAGGATTTCTGGAGATTGTGGGTTTTTTTTTCCGAGACAGAGTTTCTCTGTATTGTTTTGGAGCCTGTCCTGGAACTCGTTCTGTTGATCAGGCTGGCCTTGAATTCACAGAGATCTGCCTGCCTTTGCCTCCCAAGTGCTGGAGATTGTGTTAAAGAGTCATTTACAGTGAATAGTTTCACATTTAACGAGACTTAGTCAACATTATTTATCTAAGAGAAATTATTCTGAGAAAATAAGGGTTTGACAATATCTAGAGAGATAGCCTTTGAGCCTATGTGAGCACCAGCAAGCGAGAGACCTGACTACTTACTTACTCGAGACAGGGATATTTTTGTCAAAACTCAGTTATAATAAAAAGCACAGGAGATAGAGGTATCAGGACATTCCAGGTAAAAGATACCTCAATTGTCCTGGGGGTGGTAATGGACTGGAAAGACTTCCTGAAAGGAAGCAGCCTGGAGCAGAGTCTTAGTTGTGCTAGTCAACCAGGTAAAAATGGGAAATGATATTCCCACTTAGGGATTTACACATTCAAAGAGCACTTGGAGAAAATGAGGTACGCGTATTTTAAAGTGTCTACATCCCAAATAAAGCATGGTCAGAACACAGGGTGTGTAAACTGCTACAGAGGAAGGCAGATGGGAGGATAGTTTAAGGATCCTTCAGAAAGACTAATCAATTTTTAATACTAACATTTATATTTTCAAAATCACATACTACAAGCAGTAATTTTAAAATAGTTTTTAAAGGAAAAGCAGAAAATTAATTACATATTTTTAAAGTTTTATTATTAATTTTTAAGATTTACTTTTATTTTTAATTATATGTGTACATGTGTGTGTACACATATGAATGTGTGGAGGCCAGAATCATCATATCCCATGGAGCTGGAATCATGAATGGGTGGTTGGTTGTAAGCCACCTGATGTGGGTGTTGGGAATCAGACTTAGGTCCTGTGGGAAAGCAACAAGTGCTCTTAGCCACTGAGTTGTCTCTCTAATATTTTTGTCAAATCTATTTTTTATATTTATTTTAAGTTAATATATAAAGGAATGGGTTTCATTATGGGATTTCCATAAATACTGTTGTTTTTAAATCAAGCCTCTTTCTCCAGTATATTCTCTTCAAATTCCCTGTCTCTGTCCTGCTGGCCCCCTCCTTCCTACCACATGTCATATCCCCATCCCAAATATCCTTAAGGTATCTTTGTCACCTCTCAAGGTCATCTTTCTAATTTCATGACCTATATACCCCACTTGTACACACACACACACACACACACACACACACACACACACACACACACACACAATCTAGGATCATCATATGAGAAGGACTATGCAGTATTCGTCATTCAAAGTCTGGGATACTTTGCTCAAGATAGTAATTTCCACTTTCATCCATTCAAATTTACTTTCTAAGCTGACTATTCTGAAGTAGTCTTTCTCTAGCACATAATATTTGAAAAATATCCCAAATACGAGTTTGACAACTGCTTCAAGTGATCTTTGTTAAAGAATCTACTTACATCCTTTAGAGTAATGATGTTTGGATGCTGTCCATAACGAAGAAGAATTTCAATCTCTTCTGTTGGGTCTCTCTTGCTTTTATCAATAATCTAAAATGCAGATATTTAATATAAAATTTTATGAACATGAACCTTAAATGTTAAGTTATAGACCTTAGGTATCATCACAAGTAAACACCGTATGCACAAGTCATTTACCAATTAGATTGTTTCATTAGAAAGCTAGTCTCCACATAGATGGCTATGTAAGGCTTAGCATGTGACACATTCCTACTAGGTGACTTCAAGGTAAGTTTGTAGTAAATTTGGGACTTATTAAAACTCAAAAGCCTCAAGAAAAGTTATAAAGAACAAAGTTTCCACATCATTTTTTCATCCTTGAATTTCTCAAACATTTGAAAAATTCAACTTCTAATCACCTATCAATACAGAAAACTAAGAGACAGATGTGTCTGAAATACCACCACTAGCACCTGCATATTGAATGGAATTTACTTTTTTTTTCAAGACATGGTTTCTCTGTGTAGCCCTAGCTGTCCTGAAACTACCCCTGTAGACCAGGCTGGCCTCCAACTCAAGAGATCCAACTGACTCTGCCTCCTAAGTGCTGGGATTAGAGGCATGTGCCATGACTATCTGGCTGACTTTACTTTTTTTAGTTAAGTATTTTAATGGACTATCACATTAGCTGTAAGCTGCTTACAAAAATTAAGTAAACAAGCTTATTTCTGAAGCTAAGTAGAACTCTGCATAAAACCACCCCTAGAATATTAGTTGACTACATTTAACTCTTTTATGCCAGTTGCTTAAATTTTTTTCTGAATGTTTTAGTATGTTCAAGTACTAAACACACATATTTTTTAAATTTTATGTGTATAGGTGTTTTGCCTACATGTATATATCTATCTGTGTACCATATGCATGTCTGGTGACCACTGAGGTCAGAAAGGGTGTTGGTGTTTCCAGAATTGGAGGTACAGATGATTGTGAACATGGGTTCTAGATCTCAAACTTGGGTCTGCTGGAAAAGCAGTGCTACTACCATTTTTTGTTTTGGTTTTCGAGACAGGGTTTCTCTGTATTGTTTTGGAGACTGTCAAGGAACTCACGCTGCAGACCAGGCTGGTCTCAAACTCAGAGATCCGCCTGCCTCTGCCTCCCGAGTGCTGTGATTAAAGGCGTGTGCCACCAACGCCGGGCAGTGTTACCAGGTTTTTTTTTTTGATTTTACGAGACAGGGTTTCTCTGTATTGTTTTGGAGGCTGTCGGACCAGCCTGGCCTCGAACTCACAGAGATCCGCCTGCCTCTGCCTCCTGAGTGCTGGGATTAAAGGCGTGTGCCACCACCGCCCGGCTTTTTTTGGTGTGTGTTACCAGTTTTTAAATGATTTTATTTTATACGTGTGTACCATGTGTGTCCAGGAGCCCTCAGAGATCAGAAGTGGATGTTGGATCCTCTGGAACTGGAGTTACACACTACTGTGAGCCACAATGTGGATGCTGGGAAACAAACCCAGGTCTTCTGCAAGAGCAGCATGTGCTCTTAACCTCTAAGCCATCTTTCCAGCCCTAAGTACTATATTTGTGAAAGCAATTTGGGCTTTGTTTTATGAGACAGTGTCTCATGGATTCCAGACTGGCTTCAAACTCACTGTTTAGCTGAGGATGAAATCCCTCTGATCTCCTGCCTCCGCTCCCTAGTGCTGGGATGATAGGCATGTGCCACCACACTTGGCTTTCGATTTATTCAAAGAGTAGTCTGAAACAAATTTTGTGGTTCAATTTTATTTTATCAGTTTTAGTTGTCAAATGTTTGAAAGACAGATTCTCATTTTGTAGCCCAGATCAGCTTCTAAGTTACCATGTAGTTCAGGCTGGCCTCACAGTGACAGCAATCTTTGTAAAATGGGCCCTCAGCACATGTTTGATGTGTTTATGGGAGCAAGACACATGCCTAAACTGCCTATCAAGTATACCATTCTTTTTTTTTCTTGTTGCATGTTAGCAGTCTGAAATTTCTATTCTCTTTAGATTTCAATAAGAACAATGTACAGCAACCAGCATGTTACATGCATTTGTATGGTTCATCATTGTACCTGATAGAAAGCCTTATGGGCACTCATGTCTCTTTAAAGCAGTTGTATCCAGTTTTATGTAGTAATAACAATTTGCTACTCTTTCACAAACTAAACATGAGCTACTCATAAACTACTATGCAGATTCAAAGTCAGTTGGAAGCTTTAGGCATTACTTGAATTACTCGAAGTGGCAAAGGATAGATTACTATCAGAAAAAGTGAAAAGGCAGAATTTGGATATAATGTTTGTTCATTCATAGCTAGAGGTTTAAAATTCAAACTACCACAAAAACAGTTGCTCAGCCGGGCGTTGGTGGCGCACGCCTTTAATCCCAGCACTCGGGAGGCAGAGGCAGGTGGATCTCTGTGAGTTCGAGGCCAGCCTGGTCTACAGAGCGAGTTCCAGGACAGCCTCCAAAGCCACAGAGAAACCCTGTCTCGAAAAAACAAAAACAAAAACAAAAACAACAAAAAAAAAAACAGTTTCTCAGGTTTTGTCTTGGGTACTTTTATCTTCAGATATCATATAAAATTAAAATTACTAATAAGAGATGATCATGGTTCTTATTCTTTTTTTGGTTTTTCGAAACAGGGTTTCTCTGTATTGCTTTGGAGGTTGTCCTGGAACTCGCTCTGTAGACCAGGCAGGCCTTGAACTCACAGAGATCCGCTTGTCTCTGCCTCCTAAGTGCTGGTTCAAAGATTCATTCTAGATATAAAGAAATCTATAAACATTTTCACCAGACACAATACAAAATTTGCATAGTTTTCAGTAATTCCCTGAAACCCTGATCATAAAGAAGGAACTATTCAGAGTACAGGGAGTCCGATTAAAAATCATGATAAAAATAAACTGGCACTGCTCTGGCCTAACTGACTATATAGCCATCTTACTGTTTATGTCAGCAGAATGTGAATCCATGATTCCAGGTTAAGATCTTTGAAGATCACTAACCCAGATACTTAAGTTTACCTTCAATTTACTGTATAACAAAAGGCACTTTTGCAAAAGAGAAGAATGTAACTTATTTTAGGGCAGGTCTTGTCATACTGGCTGGGTTAACTTCTAACTCATAATTCTCCTGCCTCAGTCTCCTGAATAGTTGGATTGTGGTCAGGTGCCACTGCACATGCACCTGGGCTGAAGAGTGTAATTTGTAACCCATACATGACATGTATGAATAAGAACTGCTATGAGTTGCATTTTAAATCTGAAAATATTTACCTTCACTGCAAACTCCATGTTTGTGGCTTTATGTATACATCTCTTACAAACGGAGTATGAGCCAACACCAATATCCTCTTTGACTTCATATCCATCAGTAAATTGAATACTGTTCCTGTGTAATTGCTACAAACAAAATCATAGGTTGATAAAAGAGTTCTGCAATGTCTGTAATACATTTTAGAATCAAGGAATATTTTACTGAACATCTATTGTTAGTCACTAATACAAATATTAATAATAAAAATGAATAAAAATATTATTTAAAGTATGTGAAATAGGTCCTTTGAGGGTACTTATATTAACAAGAGAAATTAATATGTAGAACATAAAAAACAGAAATAACATAGTTTACCTATATCATTATCTTTGATTTAGCCTCTTCTGTTTTTATTTTTTTAGACTATCATACATTTTGATCACATTCTTTCCTTTCCCCAAGTTCCTACCAGACTCCCCCATTACTCGACTTTATGTTCTTTCTCTCTCTTAAAAAATAAACCAAAGAAAACAAGACAAAAAACCATTAGGAACACACACGCGCGCGCGTACACATAACCCTTCCATGAAATCCGATTTGTGTTGGCTAACTACTCCTGAGCATAATGCCTGTCCTAGAGTGCAGCTGACACACTCCGTGTTACTCCACTGAAAATTAACAAACTTTCCTTTTTTCCAGCAGGTATGAATTGCAAATAGATTCTTGGGTTGGTGTGGGAATTTGTGTCTACTTCCTTCTCTACATGCGAGGATTTTCTTTGGCTTGTGTGTGTGTGTGTGTGTGTGTAATTTATGCATGTGTATCTGTATGTTACATGTGTAGGCATGCCCATAGAGGCCAGAAGAGGGTGTTGGATCTCTTGGAGCTGCAGTTATAGATAGATGGTTGTGAACTGCCTAATGTGGACAATGGGACTTAAAACTCAAGTCCTCTGGAAGAATGGGAAATTGTTATAATATCTCTAGCCCCAGTGCTCCTTCATTGCCCAAACACCTACAGTTTTTCAGAAGTACTTCTAAAATTGAATGGAAGTTTGAGGCCTCTGGTACATAAGAAAAGATTTAAGAGGATTTAGAATTAGAAATCTGGATTGTTTCTGTCATTTTCTTTTAGTAGCTATGCACTCTTTTCTTCACTTTCAAGCCACAGCTTATATATGTTTGGCTAAAGAAGCTATTTCAGACTCTGGAGATTCCCCCAAGGAGGTCCTCATTCTTCCCGGGGAACAATGTGGGGATTGGGTGGGGGGCTGGTGGAGGGACAAGAGAGGAGGAGTGGGAGAGGGAGCTGGGATTGACATGTGAAGCATGCATACTTCTAAGTTAAATAAAAACATATATTGAGAAATAAAAAAGAAGCTGCTTCATCAGTTAGGGGCTTATGCTGGTAAATGGCAAACAGAAAATTCCTATTTTCCTAAGCAGGCAGAGGGAACTTGTGCTGATCTTGACTATGCTGAAATAAGACCCTTCACACTGAAGAGTTTTCTATAGGGTAAACTTGAATTTTGTAGAATATTTAAGTTTGTAGTTTTTATGTTAGGTACTTGTTATATTAAAACGGCCATACATTCATGGCTTTACATAGTAAAAGAGACAAACTACTGCAACCTAAGTTTTATTTGAAACATGGTGTTTAAGTTGGCTTTCTAGAAAAAAAAAACAAATGACAACACTTCAGAGTAGGACTGAGGGTGTGATTCAGAGACACAGATTGCCTTTGAATGCTTGAAAACTTGGGTTCAATCCCCAGCATTACACCACAATCACACATGGCAATAAAAATTTTTTTTATCTATTTATCAATCTATCTACCTATCTATTTTCTTTCAAAAGATCATCTTTGAAATTTTTCCCAATTTTTTAAAATTCTTGAAAATTATTTAACTTTTTATACATGTCACTCTCAGCTCCCTCTCCCTCCCCTCATCCCCTGCCCTCCCCAACCCCCCAACTCCCCACTCCATCCCCCCTCTGCTCCCCATGGTGAGGACCTCCATGGGGAGATTTTCAAAGTCTGTCATATCATCCTGGGCAGGGGCTAGTTCCTCTCCCATGTGTCCAGGGTGAGAGATCATCTCTCCTTGTGGAATGGGCTCCCAAAATCCATTTGTATGCCAGGGATAAATACTGATCTACTCTCCGATGTCCCATAGATTGCTGAGGCCTCCTCTCTGACACCAAGGTTGGGGGGAGGTCTGGATCAGTCCCATGCTGGACTCTCAGCAAAACAATTTTAAAAAGCAACTTATTCAAGCAAATTCAACAAATTCAAACATTGATGATGCCCTAAAAGCAATTTAAGTTTTCCTAAAAATGTAATTTTCCAAAAGGTTAATTAAAACCCATGATTTAAAAGATGAATTAAAAATTTTAAATGTTTCTTTAGTTTTCAACACAGTAACTGCATATGTTTATGATGTACTTATATCTCAATATTTGTACACAATGAATAATGATCACATAGGGTGAATTAAAATTATCTTCCCACAATACTATGACAAAAAGTATCTCACGATTATACTCCTTTAACAGTATTTACCCCAACACTCCCACTCCTACACACATGTAACTTAGAAACCAACTTCTACACACATGTAATTAGGAACCAACTTCTAAAGTTGTTTACCTACCTGCCCCCCCCGCAAATCTAATAATCAGATCATATAAAGGGGTAAGGTACTGTGCTAGATAATTTTTTTGTTAACTCGACACAAAATATAGTTATCAGAGGAGAGAAACCCTCAACCGATAAAATGCTTCCATTAGATTGGTGTGTGGGTATGTTTGTGGGACATTTTCTTGATTAATGGTAGATGTGGGAGTACACAGTCCATTGTGGTCAATGGCACTCCTGAGTGGGTGGTCCTGGGTTGTATAAGAAAGTAGACTGAGCAAGCTGGAAAACTGTTCTTCCATGGCTTCTGCTTCAGTTCTGCCTCCAGGTTCTTGCTTTGAGTTTATTTACTGCTTGTTTTTATAAAGTTTTGCTGGTACCCAACAATGTACATTTGTACATGAATTATCTATGACTTTATGTTTTTTGCTTGTTTTACTATTTTTTTACTTGATCTTGCTAAGCAGCCAAGGCTGACCTTGATCTAACTCTGAAATTGATACTCCTGCTGCAGCCTCCTGAATGCTGGGATTACCTAGGTACAAATGGCACCATGGCTGTTTTTTTTGCAACAACAGCAATGTTGAGTAACTGTGAGAATAGTTGACAAAGCCTCTTACGTTTTATAAAGTCTGCTAGTCAGGCAGTATGGACTTGCAATCTATTATTGATGACCTGACAGAGGCAAGGGATGAAATATAGTAGACCTAATAAACATTTTGAGATATAGAAGAGAGGGCAACAAAATAGTGATGTTTACCTCAATTCTCTTAGAATCTCACTTTCAATAACATATAGGATTTTGGCTGTGAAATCTTTGCAATGATGTTTGAAAGAAATTTCTCTGAAGTATATGATCTAAAATATGTTAAGGTGTTCACTTAAAGTCAGCACATAAAATCTAACCTTACTATTCACATGCTAAAATACATTTTAACATTTGAAATTTAAAGTTATTGAGACACTACTTACCTGAACAATTGAATGCACACCAACTGTCTGCATAGCCTGGCTTTCATCATCTGAGGTAATAGCAACAAAACTAAACCCCCGAAAAAGCTGATGTGCATTAGCACTAGGTGGAATGCCAGGTGAATCTAAAAAGAATGAGGAAATACTAAGATGAGCCTTTGGAAAGCATTTAAGGGAAAAACAGTTGACATTTTGAAATTTCCTTCTTATTCTGGAGTTCTTAGTTACCTGGTATGTGTACAAGTATATACACACACTTTGCTGTCCAGGATACCTCAGCGAAGCAGTGTATTAGATCGGTCCTGATTACCTATTGCAACCATCATCAGCCTACTTACTAAATCTACTCTCAGAGCCTAGAAAAGAGTTAATGTTTGAAGAACATAATAAATCAATGAATTATTAGGTTAATGATATTTGAAATTAGTGTCATCCCATTCATTTTCTTAGAACAAGGGAATTTTCTTGTTCTGTGCTGTCCAATATGGAAAGTAACAACATATAGTTACTGAGTATTTGAAACGTGTCTACTCTTATTATGAAACTAAATTGTAATTAAATTCAATCAGCCACACGTGATTCTCACAGTAGACATCACAGCCTTACATGATGATCCATCAACAATATGACTCATGTTTATTGAGGGAATGCAAAGTTGACATACAGCAAATTTGGCAGATTCAAGGAAAAGATTTTCTGACTGAACCAGAAAGAGACAGCCTTTGTGCTACATTTGAATTTTCATGTTTTCTCTTTACCTTTGGGAGTTTTTGCAGTAAACTCAGGATCAAAATAAAATGTATCTTCAGGCCTGCCAGTTGCAGGCTTAAAAGGTGGGTGAATTTCTCTTCTATACAGTTTCTGTTGGAAACAAGAAAGATTTAGACATGGGTTGGGTTAATTTTTTTTAAGACAGGGTTTCATATATAGTTCTGGCTGTCATGAAACTTACTCTGTAGACCAGGCTGGTCCCGAACTCATAGAAATCTATCTGCCTACCTCTGCCTCCCAAGTATAGGGATTAAAGGTGTGTCCACCACCCCCCATATGTTAATTTTTAAAAACAGTTCAAACTTTCTTTTTTATTTAAAGTAGTTGAGAACCCAGAGCCTTGGAAATGTCCCCTTAATTCCCTCAAACATGTCTTCAGCCTATACTTACATTCCAGTCTATTGTTGAGAAAAATGAATGCCTTTTAATTTCTTCAACTCCATCTGGTCCAGCACCTATCAGAAATTGATTGGTTAATCGTTTTATTTTGAGGATAAATGTGCACAACTGTTTAGTTTTTGCTTTGAGTGTTTTATGAATATGCAATAGCCCCACTACAAAAATAAATATCTACCCTCCACTGGAAAAAGCAACATAAACTTATGAAGGAAACTAATTAATTCAATGTCTTTACCTAATCTGTTTGCAGGATTCCGTTTGAAAAGCATTCGTAAAAGACTCTGGGCTTCAGGACTCAGAAACTGTGGCATCCCAAGTTTGGCTCTAAATATAAATCCATTTGACAACATTTAACTTTTGGAGGCATTTTTCATCTTCAAACATTAAACTTTTCATTTTGAAATATGCTTTGAATAGATTCTTACTAAGTTATGAGAAACAATAACAATCTCTGTATCATTCTGCAATTCCTAAAATGGCAATATCCTATAGAACTACAATGCAATGTACAAATGGGGACTTGACTCTGAAATAATCTACTGATATCATTCAGATGGCTCCAGCTTTATTTGCACGCTCTCATGTGCATGAATAACCTCCAATATGGATGCACTAGCTTATTCATCTATTTACCTTCTGAATGATACCTGAATTGTGTACAGTTTGGATGGTTATGAATAAAGTTGCTAGAAACATACATGTACAGGTTTTTGAGTAAACATAATTTATAAAAATCACCACTATGAGAATAAGGTCCTCTGAGCCTTACTTATGGCTATTATTCTTCTGCCTGTTAGTGCTTCTTTATAAGCAAAGAGATTGGATTCTAGATCAATGGTTTTCAAATATAGCTCTAGAACCCTTTTTGAAATGAACTTTAAGAAACCTAATACTTCAGAGAAAATATGTACTTTATGTGCCACTTTCCTGTGCTGCAATTCTGTTAACAGTCCTCTAGTGATGGGAAACTAATGGGAAAGGAGTTTATGAAACATTGGAGATCCTATGGCACACTGGCTGAAAACTATAAGGCTGGATGACTTTATTGTCTGTTTCAGCTACAAGGTAGAATTACATTCTTTCCCCCAACCTAAAGAAACCAAAGATCCTCTAAGTATGACAATAACAACAGACCTGGAGAAAACAGCTAGCACAGAAATTCCTTTCCAGAAATAGATCTATTTATTATTTACTGAATTGTTACTGAATTGCTATGTGCCAGATACTGCTTAGTGCTCTGGCTACAAAGCTAAAAACAGTAACCCCCTTCAGTCTATGACATATTAATATAGATAACCATAGTACATTAATTGGTGAATCCAAAAATGCGAATGGTGCCGCATACCATAATCAAAGCACTGGTGATACTAAGGCAGGAGGATCTTATGTTTGAGGTCAGCCTGGGTTATACAGTGAAATCCAGTCTTACAAAACCAAACCCCAAACCAACCAATTAACCAAAACACAAACCCAGAAAGGCATTTGAAAAGAATGCTTAGTTAGAGGCAAGTGGATCTCTGTGAGTTCGAGACCAGCCTGGTCTACAGAGCAAGTTCCAGGACAGCCTCCAAAACAATACAGAGAAACTCTGTCTCAAAAAACAAACAAACAAAACAAAAAAGAGAAAAGAATGCTAAGTAGTGGGTGCCCAATTAATTTATCATGGGACATGGTGAAGGATCTTCAAATGTTTTTTTTTTTTAATTTTAAAAAATTTTATGTGTGAATGTTTTGCCTGCAGGCATGTCTGTGCATCAGGTGCATGTAGTGCCCAAGGAGGGCAGAAGAGGGCAGTGGATCCCTTGGAACTAGAGTTACAAATGGTTGTGTGCTGCCATGTAGGTGTTAGGAATCAGATATGAGTCATCTGCAAAAACAAGTGATATTAGTCAGATGAGCCATTTTTCTAATACCCCTTCGAATGAATTTAAAGGTTGAATTTAGATTGAATTTCCTCACTGGGTTAGTGTTGCCCAAAATGTTACTAAATAGTATTATGCCTTAGATACTTGGCAACAACAATAAGGACTGTTCTATGATTCAGTGAACTTATGGACTGTGATTATTTTTTATATCCTTCATGGTGAAGACATAAGAGAAAGTATATTACAAGTAAAAGGCTAAGAAATCTAGAGTACGCCGGGCGTTGGTGGCGCACGCCTTTAATCCCAGCACACGGGAGGCAGAGGCAGGCGGATCTCTGTGAGTTCGAGGCCAGCCTGGTCTACAAAGCAAGTTCCAGGACAGCCTCCAAAACAATACAGAGAAACCCTGTCTTGAAAAAAACCAAAAAAAAAAAAAGAAATCTAGAGTAAATGAGTCATTATTTTCTAAATATTTATATTTAGCACCCCCCTTTGAGAAGATAACTATTTGTTATAGAATTAGATCTTTTTGAGAAAAATTGGAAAAGCACTGTTGTATTCAGTAACAAGAATGTAGCAGGAGTCTTGAAATGGTGGTCTAGCATGACCAGACTTATTTTCAAGATGACAACTCCAAGGGTAGCAGAGAACAATCTAGAATGGAAAGAGATGGTAGGCACTATACTCAGGATACAGAGGCAGGTAATTATCTGAGTCAAAGGTCAGCATCTTCCATAGGGCTAGTTTCAGGCCAGCCAGGGCTACACAGAGAAATTCTGTTTGAAAAAAAGTAAAACAAAGCTGGGCGGTGGTGGCGCACACCTTTAATCCCAGCACTCGGGAGGCAGAGGCAGGCGGATCTCTGTGAGTTTGAGGCCGGGCTGGACTGATAGCCTCTGAAACAATACAGAGAAACCCTGTCTCGTAAAACCCCCAAAAAAAGTAAAACAAAAAAAAAAACCACATACACACACACACACACAAAATAACAAGCCAAAATTAGATCAAAAGAACATGGTTAGAAAGGTAAGACAAGCAGGTAAGGGTAGGAAATAACTAAGAAGACTGTGTGTGTGTGTGTGTGTGTGTGTGTATAGTAGTAGTAGTAGTAGTAGTAGTAGTAGTAGTAGTAGTAGTAATAGTAGTAATAGTAATAGTAGAAGAGGTAGCAGCCAACAGTGTCAAACACTCCTTGGAGAACTTGCCTTATTTCTATCTTCTAAAATAACTCATGAGCTTTCTTTCACACTGTTCACTAACAAAGTAAGTGTGCCCTAAGATGTTATCTCATAACATCTGAAATTATCATATTTATTCAAATATTAATGCTATACTTCCCCCACTAGAACATAAGGACTATGAGACACTGAAGCTCTTTTCAGTATTCTTCATATTGCAGTCCCAGGATTGCAGCAAGAACTCTATTACTTGTTGAATGAATCATATGGATGAACAATAGGATTACCTTTCTGACAACCTGTCAGGATTTAGCAACTAGAAGGCCACTGACAATCAAATGGAGAGCAGTTTTAGTAGAGCGCTAGGCGTGAACAAATAGGCTGTGCAATAAAAGAAGCTGAAAATTGTGACAAAAAGCACAGATTACACTTAAAGAGGCTGTGTACTGAAAGGATGAAAAGATAATGCAGTAATTGTAAAGTAAAGCCAGGTCAAAGAAAGGGCTTGGCTTTTTTTTTTTGAACACTATAAAGCATTAGTAGAAATCAGGGGATAGGCAACCAAAGTTTAATAGTGAAAGTTCAGTGAACATTCATTCATATATATTTTTTATTTTTGGAGACAGGGTTTCTCTGTGTACCTTTGGCTGTCCTTGAACTCACTCTGTATACCAGGCTGGTGTCAAACTCATAGAGATCCACCCGCCTTTGTCTCAGGAGTGCTGGGATTAAAGATGTGCACCACTACTGCCCAGCTACAGTAAGTATTTTTGGGGGGGTTTCGGGGCAGGGTTTCTCTGTGACTTTGGAGGCTATTGTGGCATTCACTCTTGTAGACCAGGCTGGTGTCAAACTCACAGAGATCGGCCTGCTTCTGCCTTCCGAGTGCTGAGATCAAAGGCGTGCGCCACCACCGCCCAGCTGTAATAGGTATTTTTTAAACTTTTTCTTGTGTAGAATAACATGCCAAAAAACTGTCAAAACAAATGCTCACTCAAAGTATACAGCTCAATAGCTGTCTGGCCAAGAATAATAGCGTGCCAGAAACTTCCATCCAACATAACATTTTTTCTTATTTTTGCCTCTGCTTTTACCATCTGAATACAGACCTTAAAATATGCTTTAGTTTTGCTAGTTTGTAAATTTTATAAATACAATCACAGAATCAGTTCTTCTGGGTCTAAGATTTATTTATTTAACTTCCTTGTAAGACTTAATACAAATTCTTGCATGGAATTGTGATATGTCCTTTTTTTGTTGCTACTATTTTCATATAAAGGCCTGGACCAGCTTTTGTAGGGCTCCTGAACCAAGACTTATTTTAGTCAGTCAGGCATGATGGTACATGCCTATAATCTCAGTACTGAGGAGGATAACGCTGAAGAATCATGAGTTCATAACCAGCTTGGGTTACACAGTAAGACCTTGTCTCAAAATATAAACAAAACCCAACTGTTTTATATTTGTATAATGCTGTATAAAGAAATATAATGAAGAACAATGTAATAAAGATTCAACTGCATGAATATACCATTATCATAAATCCACTCTATTGTTACTGATATAATTGAACTCAGGACCTCTGGAAGAACAGCCAGTTCTCTTAACCACTGAGCAGCATCTCTCCAGCCCCCCTGAAGCATTTATTTTCAAACCTTTCCAAAACATGTTCATTTGGGAGTACTTACTTAAGAATCATAGTCATTGTTTCTTTACGATCTTTTCCTTGGAAAGGTAGTGTACCAGTGAGCATTTCAAACTACAGAAAGGTAAAACAGACATGTTACCCAGTAAGTATAAAGTTTCAAGACCGGAAGTTTAAAAGCAAAAATTATCATCTTAATTTCACTAAATCTTCTAAAACTGCTCCCTATAGAAAGCCATTTTCCTCTTTTCTCTTGTTTTAAAATTGCGTCAAATCATTCTTTATAGTGTTTCTTAATATGCAAGCTGTACTTCAATACATTAAATATAGATTTAAAATAAACATTTATGTTTATACTATATTTACTACTGAATTTCTTGATCATTCATAAAACATAAATAACCAAACTATAGAATTCTGCAGAAATCAATCATATTTTAAATGGCATTTTAAAAGTGTAAATATGTGACTAGTCTAACAGCCTGCCAATTTCCTGTTAAGCTTTTTAAAGGGTTATTGCCAACAGATTTCTCTAAGAAGCTTTTGCAAAGAACAAACACCACTAATGCTTTTGGGTTTGTCTAACCCAATGACACTGTAACACAATGTTGTCATTTATAAAGTTCATGCTTGAGAACTGTCAAATCAAGTGACATCCCAAAACTCTCACTCTCTTAATGTTTTAGATAACTTGATGATTTTGCATTGGGCTGTATTCACACATATTTAAGGGTACAAGGAGCTCATTGCCTGTAAGTTGAACATATAATGTAGAAAAATCAAAGGAAATATATTTTGGTCTTTTCAAATTAGGGTGAGATAGAAACAATCAATAGTTTCTCTAATCCTACCCTTCAGGCAATCATTTTATTTGGTTACTTTGTATTAAAAACAGAAAATTTTGAAAATCAAAGTACTAGCTTTTTTCTCTCTCACAATATGTACTGCCAAGTCTCACTTGAAAAACAAAAGAAGCCAGGCGTTGGTGGTGCTCGCCTTTAATCCCAGCATTCGGGAGGCAGAGGCAGGCAGATCTCTGTGAGTTCGAGACCAACCTGGTCTACTAAGCAAGTTCTAAGATAGGCTCCAAAACAATACAGAGAAACCCTGTCTTGAAAAATAAAAAAGAAAAACAAAAGAACTTTCACCACTAATAATTAGATGTCTTACCATCAACACACCAAAAGACCACCAGTCAGCACTCTGAGTATGACCTCTCCGATTAACTACTTCTGGAGCCATATATTCCACAGTTCCACAAAAAGAATAAGCCTTCTTCTCATGGTCAATAGACTCCTTACTTAGGCCAAAATCTGCCAAAATAAATATTGAATTGATAAATATCCAAAGTCTTTTAAATAATTTTTAAACTCTGAATTCAAATACATATTTATAATTAGAAATATTAGCCTAAAATTCTAACAGGCAAATACTCAAAAAATTTTTAATATAATCAACCTTAAAAGAAATAGGGGAGAATAATTTAATAAAATGAGGACTTTTACCAGTTAACTTGATGTGACCTTCTTCATCAAGAAGTATGCTGAAAGAAAACAAAGTTAGAAAAATGTCTTTAAATCAATTTACAGAGACATACAGAAGCTGAAACTGAAATTACTCAATCATCAGCTGACCACATTTACTCTAAAGGGTTACATTAGACCATGAGTAATGATTAAGAAAACAATTAAATAAGCTATACTTTTTCCAAGATGTTCTCTCTAGTGCTCTTCTATTGAGATGACCTGTCTACATACATACTAGACATCTGAAGTACATTTTAAATCTAAATTGTCTCTTTTTTTTGAGACAGGATCACATTTGAACTCAACGCCTTTCTCCTGCTTCAGCTTTCCAAGTGCTGGAATTGTAGGTGTGCACCACTCTATCCAGCTCCTCTGGATAATTATAACCTCAAAAATAACAGAAAAATATTAAAAAATTAATCTAAAAAATATTTGTTGAATGAATGAAGTCTGTCTACAGGGGGTTTAAAAGGCATTTCCACTAATACTTGCTTCTTCTTAGTATAAGGATGTATAAAGGCACAGCAGAGAAAAACATATGGCTATGCAGTGAGTTCTTTGGGTCACTATGAGGAACATCTGGAAAATGATACTATCTAGTTTGGACAGCTAATTTTTTTGGTCATTCCTTCCTTCTTCCTCTTATATATAACATCATTCCTACAGTTTCCCCCCACCTTCTCTCCTTCCAGTCCCACCCGCCTCACATCCCCTCTCTCCAAGATCCACTCTTTCTTCTTTAGCTTCAGAAAAGGGCAGGTCTCCCAGGGCAACAACTGAACATGGCATATCAAGTTATAATAAAACTAGGCATATCCCCTCATGTTAAGGTTGGACAAAGCAACCCAGTAGGAGGAAAGGGGTCCCAAAAGCAGGCCAAAGGAGTCAGAGAGTCTCTGCTCCCACTTTAGGAGTCCCATGGGACACCAAGTTATACAATCATAACATATGAAGAAGACCTAGGTTATATCTATACAGGCTTCCTGATTGTAGGTTCACTCTCTGTGAGCCCCTATGAGTCTAGGTTAGTTGATTCTGTGGGCCATTTTCTTGTGGTGTCTTGGCCCCTCTGGCTCCTACAACTTTTACTCAGCCAATGCCTAATGTTTGGCTGTGGGTCTCTGTATCTTTGAGCAGATAACTTTTTGGGGGGTGGGCAATGCCAAATTATGGAGTCACAGAAAGGACTAAATACTAAGCTATAAACCCATACTTGTATTTTGGGAAGGCATGCTAGTATACTAACTTTCAAAGTCAAATAATAAGCTATCCTATAATATAGGCATTTTCTTACCTTTAATATGAACTAAAAGCAAATCAAATTTTATTATAATAAAATTTTACTGGGACAAAATTAATTCTTAATTATTTTATTTGAGATTATATTACATCATTTCCCCTTGCCTTTGTTCCCTACTTGAAACCTCCCACATACCCATATACTCCTCTTTCAAATTCATGGCCTCTTTTTTCCATGCATATCCTCCTAATATAACCTCCTTAGTCTGTATGTTACCCGCATACATATTTTCAGAGCTGATCATTTGGTTTTTGGATAACCAATTCGTGTGTTCTTCCCTCGATAATTCTATTTTCCTACTCTCAGTATTCCTTAGTTTCCCATAGTTCTTTGTGCAGGGTTGAGGCCTCTTGGGCTTTCTCCTGTCCAAGTTAGTCACCAACTTTCTTAACATAATTTTCAAATATAATTAAGCTGAAGTTTAGCACTGAGGATAATTTAGGGTGGACATATTTTTCAAGTTACTTTCATAACAAGCTACTTACATAGGAAAAATACTTTTAGTTATACTTATTTATGAAGTAGTCCAGTATATTTTGGGGACATAAAAGATACTAATAAAGGCCAGTGAGATAGCTCACTGGGTGAAAGTGCTTGCTATGCAAGCCTGATAGTCTAAGTTTGATGCTTGAAACCTACAAAGTCCTAAATGCAGTTGTCTTTTGATCTCTATACAAGTGCTGTGGAACATGCATGCTTACACACTTACACACACACACACATACACATGCACGCATGCACACACACACACACGGGAAGGGGATAGAGAAGAGACAATTACTAAATAAACAAAAGACACTAATTGGATGGTGAAAATATAGCCCTTTCTATTAAATAGAAGACATTTCTAAAAACAAACAATTCTCAACCCTATTCTTAGTAATTCTGAAAGTTAGGAAAAGAAAATCTGGATAAAATATAGTACCTACACTTTCCAGACCAAATGTATTTTTAAAAAGAATTTTTTGAGGTTAGTATGTAAAACAAATGAATTTCTAAAGATAACAATCTTTGTCTTGGATTTTGTTTTTGTTTTTTTGAGACAGGGTTTCTCTGTGGCTTTGGAGGCTGTCCTGGAACTAGCTCTTGTAAACCAGGCTGGTCTCAAACTCACAGAGATCCACCTGCTCCTGCCTCCCAAATGCTGGGATTAAAGGTGTGAGCCGCCACTACCACCCGGTATTAATGAATACTATAAACTATAAACATTTTATTATAACATAGTTTTAGTTTAAAAGAATCTATAAAACTGATGGGAGTAGTGACATTAGTTTTTAATCCCAGCACTTGGGATGCAGAGGCAAGCAGATCTCAATAATCTTTTGTGAAATACAAATCAAACTATATGAAAAATATAAATTGTAAAATGTATGATAATTTCTAAATGATCTTTCTACAGGTTTTCATAGGAGCATGTCCTTATTTTCTGTCACAATACATAATTATAACACCTTGAAGTAAGTAATATTCAAAACACTCAGTAAAATTCAGGTGTGGTGGCATAGAACTACTATCAGAACATTTGGGAAGGAGGATTAAGAGTTCAGGCCCAGTTTTGGCTACATAGTTCAAGGCTAGCCTGGGTACGACTGAAAAAAAAGAAAGAAAAAAGGAAACCCAAAAAACCAAAAATCAAAAAACCAAAGGCTCCCAAGTACTGCAAATATAGGTGTGCATCAATAAATGGTATTTAGGAGAAAGTGTTAGCTCTATACCATTCTTCATAGAGATAAGTAAAAGAAACAGTACAATTAAAGAAAAATATCATGATATTGGGAAAAACTCTTCTACCAATAAGTGTGGTGATATATTATATATGATTTATTAAAGCTTGCCTGAAGTATCAGAAAGCAAAGCTATCCACAAGCCATAGAGGTCAGGCAGTGGTGGCATACACCTTTAATCCTAGGACTCAGAGGACAGGCAGATAGATCTCTGTTAGTTCAAGGCCACACTGAGCTACATGAAATTGATCCAGTCCTAAGGAGAAATAGCTCCCATAAAGGTGATCTCAGCACTTCGGATCACACACCTTTAATCCCAGGATTTGAGAGGTATAAAAGGAAAAAGCCAAGTCAGACTTAGAGAATTAGTCTCCAACCACACTGAGGACAGGACAGCCCTTTCAGTCTGAGGTAGAGGTAAGAGCTAGTGGCTAGCTGCTCTGTTTTCTGAACTTCAGCTTGAAGCATGAACCCCCATATCTTTATTTTTAAGCATGAACCCCCATATCTTTATTTTTTGTGCTACAAATAATTCTTTGGAGAAATCATAAAAGATTAGTTGGCCCAATGAGACAAAAATGTGTGTGAATTAAAACAACACATTTTTTAAAAGATTTATTTATTGCCGGGCGGTGGTGGCGCACGCTTTTAATCCCAGCACTCGGGAGGCAGAGGCAGGCGGATCTCTGTGAGTTCGAGGCCGGGCTGGACCGATAGCCTCTGAAACAATACAGAGAAACCCTGTCTTGAAAAAACCAAAAAAAAAAGATTTATTTATTTATTATGTATACAGTGTTCTGTCTACATGTATCCCTGCAGGTCAGAAGAGGGCACTAGATCTCATTATAGATGTTTATGAGCCATCATGTGGTTGCTGGGAATGGAATTCAGGACCTCTGGAAGAGCAGCCAGTGCTCTTAACTTCTGAGCTATCTCCAGCCCCAAAACATAAATTTTTAATAAAAAGATTTGTAATACATGTGAAATGATTAAAGTCCCACCCCCACCCTGCTGCCCTTTTTGTGAAAGGGGTCTCAATACATTTCCTAGACTGGTTTCAGATCTGTGTCTAAGTAATCCTCCTGCTTAAGTTTCCCCAAGAGATATGACTACATGAATGTTCAATTGTTCCTGGATAAATTGTTAGAATTCTTTGTTTGGGGTTGGCAACATGGCTCAATGGGTATTTGCCGCCAACCTGAGTTCAATTGGTAGAAGGGGTAAAACTGACTGCTATGGGTTGTTCTCTAATTTGCAATATATGCATATATTGGGATGAAGAGACATGTGGATCTGAGTTTGAGGCTAGCCTAGTCTACAGAGTGTGTAGTGATATCTTGCTTGTATCAAAAAAGCCTGTCTGAGAATGGAGCTTACCATTAGCTAAACATTGAGGTCTGGGGGCCTGTACAGACAGACAGGAAGTGAGACTGCTGGGTGGAAACAGGAAGTGAGATGACTGGGCAGAGGGAGAGTATAAGTGAGAAGAAACAGGAACTCACTCTCTTGTCTGTGCCCAGTCATCTAAACAGGGTAGACAGGGATAAACAGAGAGACCCTGTCTCAAAAGAAACAAACAAGCAAAGAAAGTAAATGAAAACAGGGTAACAGGGTAACAGTGTTGTTTAATGAAGATTTTACAAGTTCAATATCATCTAATGTTAGCACACATGTGAAGCACAATACTATAATGAAGTGCTGTGGAGATCTAGGAAGTTGCTACATTTTATGACACAGCTGTATCACACTGAATTCAATCTAATAGCATGGCTCCTTACTTTTCTGGTTTTAAGTCTCTATAGATGATTCCCAGGCTATGCAGATGGTCTAAAGCAAGTGCAAGTTCAGCCAAGTAGAATTTGACGTCTTCTTCTGTGAACATCACCTAAAACAAAATAATATTCCCAACTTTATATTCTTTTTATGTCTATGATTATTATGTGAGGTTCCATCTAAGACTTTAAATATTCAATTTGTAAATATGTTAATCAGGTATAGATTTAGTTACAACTTACTCATGAAAGAAATTTGCAAAATGATCTAATCAGTCAAGTAACATTTCAAAAATGGAAAATGATCTTGAGAATAAATGCTGAATTTACAGTACTAATTACTAAGGCCATTTATTGATATATAACCAATTCTGAGAAAAACTATGAAAGCAGGGGGTGTTAAGACAACTCCTCAATGTAAAGTGCTGCTTTCAGTATAAATTCAAAAGATAGGAAAAAACATTTTTTGACTCAGTTTCTTGAATGAAAGAATTTTGTGTTATAAGAGTATGATACATGCAACACTGAAATAACAAAGCTTTAATTGAAACAGGATGAGTAGAAATAAATTAAAATAGACATTAATTATATACCTCTTTGGATAAGCGTGTAAACAAATCTCCTCCCCTGAGAAAATCCAAAATAAGATACAACTTCCCTTCAGTTTGAAAAGCTGAATGAAGAAAAAAATTTCTGTTTAAACCATTGTAGTTTACTTTTTTAGCTTATATTAAGTCAATTCATCCATAAATGAACTATTATTTTTAGCAAATAAGTGATATCAGAAATCTAAACTTATTTCTACATAGAAGAAAAGATTGATTCTCTTAGTTTCCATGAGGAAATGTCAAATACAGGGTGTCTTATCAGGGAACAAAATTTTCTACCCTCAAGAATGCCATCCTATAGCCTTCATCCAGTGGATGATGGAAGCAGAGGCAGACACTCACAGCTAAACACTGAACTGAACTCCTGGAATCCATTTGCAGAGAGGGAGGAGTGATGAGCAAAGTGGTCAAGACTGGGCAGGTGAAAGCCACAGAAATAGCTGACCTGAACAAGGGGGAGAGCTCATGAACCACAGACTGATGATGGAGAGGCCAGCATGGGACTGATCCAGAACCCCTGAATGTGGGTGTCAGTGAGGAGACCTCGGCAATCTATGGGGTCTCAGGCAGTAGATCAGTATTTATCCCTGGCGTACGAATGAATTTGGGGTGTCCATTCCATATGGATGCCTGCTCTCTCAGCCTGGACACATGGGAAAGGGCCTAGACCCTGCCCCAGATGATATGACAGACTTTGGATATCCCCCATAGAGGGCCTCACCCTTCCTGGGGAGCAGAGAGGGGATGGGGTGGGGGTTGGGGATGTTGGGGAGGAGGAGAGGGAGAGGGAGCTAGGAATGACATGTGAAGCAAGCTTATTTCTAAATTATTTAACTTTATTTTATGTGCACTGATGTGAAAGTATCAGATACCCTGAAAATGGAGTTACAGACAGCTGTGAGCTGCCATGTGGGTGCTGGGAATTGAACCTGAGTCCTTTGGAAGAGCAGGCAATACTCTTAACTGCTGAGCTATCTCTCCAGCCCCCAAGAATGCTATCATTCTAAACATGATCAGTAAGAAAAACCTATAACAGACAGATTTAACCATGAATTATGACACAAAACTATGCCACAGGGGTGTGTTGGTTAGATTTAATGACATTGTACAAAGACTCTATGCTTTTTACACACTTAGAAATAACACTTGGCTTTCAGAAAAAAAGAAAGGTAGGTGATAAAAGTTTTATGATGCTGATATTGGGCCTCTTGTCATCAGTTTGGGCTAACACATAAGGACTATAAAATGGTGGTACAGTGTTATGTATCTCTCTGTATTTTAATGTTTCTGAATATACTCAAAAGGTGAGGAATTGAGGTAAAGGGATAAAGTGAGAGGGGGTTCTAAACTTACCATAATGCAATTTGACAATAAAAGGATGATTGACTTCTACCAAGATATCACGCTCCATTTTTGTCCGAACACGGTCTCGAACTATAAAGGATTACACACATGATACAATGCAAGTTTTTTCAAAGGGCATATTAAAAATTCTTTTTAAATTGCATTTTAAATTAAATTTTGCCTATGTACATAAAACATGAATTTTTATTCCTGTTAAATCTTTAAACTCTATAAAAATAGTTTTCACTATATTACAAAATCAAAAGCACCTATGTGTGTTCATAAATTCTATGCTCTAAGTTAAAAATATATAAAATATATTAGGTATTGGGTTTAGAAGCATTTTAGTTGAAGTTGTAGAAAATGGCAAAAAGCATGTGAAATTAAAAAAAACAAGGCATCTCATGAAATATGAAAACAATAACCTGAAATAGGTTTCAAACTTTAACTAACCCTATCAGTTCAACAAATGTTCATGAAGTATCTATAAAATGTGTCAGACTTGGTAAAGGATAGCTATATTCCAAGTGATTTATTTTGAGGCAGGGGGAAAAAAGGAAGGGTAGATTGGAAATGTACAGCTGAAAGGGCCAAAGGTTTTGTTTTGCTTTCTTTTTTGGTGAAAAAGATATTGATTCTAATTTGTATAATCATGAGTAAGTTACTAATTTAAACTCTTCTGGAACCTCACTTACCTTTCTGGTATAAAACTGGGTAATCCTACTATACTTTTGAAGAATTTATGATCACTTGGATAAAGTTAATACCTAAAGCCTGTGTGTAAAGGTATTAGACTATCATAATTATCTCAAAAAACAGTGTGAATATGGCCAATAGGCAGTTTGTTAACAGCAATATGTGTTACTGAAGTTCAGAGAAGTCAAGATCAGTTTTACTTGTATAGGAAGTCTAGAAGAAGAAGCAGGGTTAGGATAGAAGCTCTAAGACTCTTCCAGTAGGATTTTCCCATAGGGTGGGAAAGACAGGTTCTAAAGGAGACCAGGTATGGACTACCAACATCTGAACAGATACAGGGCATAAATGATGACTTGGAAGGAAGCTGTATCAGTGTGGAAACGGAGGTTCACTATAGGGAAGATGGCATGTAGAGGATCCAGATTTATGATAAGTTGAAACGCTGGGAAGAATTTGGGTTTGTGGCAAAACTCTTTTCTTTTCTTTTCTTTTTTTTTTGGTTTTTACGAGACAGGGTTTCTCTGTATTGTTGTGGAGGCTATCGGTCCAGCCCGGCCTCGAACTCACAGAGATCCGCCTGCCTCTGCCTCCCGAGTGCTGGGAATAAAGGCGTGCGCCACCACTGCCCGGTGGCAAAACTCTTTTCTAGAAAGAAACATTTCCTCAGCAGAGCCTATAATGGTGGAGAGAGAAGCATTGGAGTTCAAAGCTATTCTCAGCTATGTCGTGAGCTTGACACCACACTGAATTACATCAGACTGTCTCAAAAAACGAAACTGAACCAAATCAACAACAAAAACATTCAATGTTTATGTTAGTGATGAGATCTAAAAGAAAGTAGGGGTGTTGGGGAGAGGGAACTTGAGTTGGTTGCTGGTTTTGTTTTCAATTCAAGGGAACCACAGATATTTAAAACACAGAAACAAGACCTTTAGGAAACAAACCCCAGTGAGAGATGGCTCAGTGGGCAAAGGTACTTACTGATAAGCCTGATGACCTGACTTTGATCACTGAGACCCATGGCTGATGAAGAGAATGAACTCTAGCAAGTCATCCTCTGAATAGGAGAGTGATTATGAAGAAATACTGTTTGTGTTTCCAAGGCTATATATAGGAAATTGTTTTATTGTAATGATACATGAAGTCTTTTAAGCTGACAGACCACAAAATTCCCCATTAAACTGATCTAATGTCATTACCTTCCAGTTGATCCCACGCAGTGTATTAGTAGGAACTTTGAAATGAAATGACTTCTGGGTAAACATGGGCATTCTGTTAATTATTTCTAAAACTCCACTAAAATGACATTAATAGAAAAATGACAGTAGCAAGCTCTTATCTGCAAGTGCCATGTTTTAGGACTCTTCATGAGTACCTAAAACCACTGACATACTGGCTGTACCTCAACGAGATGATGGGACAGACTTAGTAGACTTCCTAGGGGAGGCCTTACCCTCTCTGAGGAGCAGATGGGACGAAGTGGAGGAATAGGGGGAGCGGGAGGGGAGGAGGGGGAACTGGGATTGGAATGTAAAAAATAAACCAATAAAAAAACACTGATATACCAACCCTGCAGACACATACCTATGAAAAATATAATTTACACATTACACATAGTAAGATATAAATAGAAACAAATATTAAAAGTTCTTTGAAGGTGTTCTTAGTCTCTTTCCTTTTCCCAAAACATCTTCCTAAAATTTTAGCTTTCCACTTAAAAAAAATCCAAAGCCAGAAAGGATAAAAATAATAAAACTTGAGGAGCATACATTTTGTAACACCTGACATTTTGTAATACATGACCAAAAACTTTTATAAAACTTGAAAATATGAGTCCCTAGATTCAAAGGGACCACCCCATATTTGATATGATGAAATTTTACACCACGCACTCAAAGATACTACTTAAATTTCAGGACACAAAGATAAAGACGATTTTATCTATAGACTTCTGGAGAGGAAAAGTTGCTAACACACAAAAGATTGGCAAAGAGAATGGCAATGACCTTCATCATTGGAACAGGGAAACAAGACGATGAAAGCAGTACTTTCCAATATCTGAGTGAAACTTATTTGTGACCTAGAACTGTAAATCTGATAGTTATAAATTTAGTAAGGGAGCAGAATATACTTTCAGAATGCTAGATGACACAAATTTTACCATGTATCTTGCCTTTTCTATAGCAGTTATTAAGAGATACATACAACCCAAATTGGAAGGTATACTGAGTAAAAGGTAGATAAAGAATTCAGAAAAAGGAAATATAGCAAAGATGTGAAGGGCATATAGTCCACTATACTATTTCATCCAGTTATGATCAATTTTTATGAAGCAGAAACAATGAGAAGATATAGACACGAGAACTGTATAGATGGCAGTATAAAGCAACTAAATTCTAAAATCTTTGATATCGGGAAGTAAACAGATCATGGCTCCAAATGAAAACAACCAAAGGATTGCAAAGACGATTGTGAAATGTGAAAGTAAATGTGAGAAGCAAGTCAGTGACTCTGGAAGGGTCAAGAATTAGAATAGGCAGGGAGATGGGGTAAAGTACAGCTAGCTGTCTTAGATGACAAAACTTTGATTAAAAACAAAATCCATATTTAAGAACACACCCAAAATTACCTAGAAGCCTACAATTCTATAACTCTGAAGCTTGTACACATTTGAGTTTCCTTCCATAGCTCATATGTATATAATTTTATATATTTGTAATAGGCATGTATGTTATAATTTTCAGTTATGTTTTCATTTACTTCTATAATCATATTAAACACATTAATTTTCATTTCAGGTGTATGAGTGGTTTGCTTGCACGGATGACTGCTATGCCTGTTACCATGTTCATGCAGTTTCTGTGGAGGCCAGAAGAGGGCAGTAGGATTCCCTGGAATTACATTTACAGATAATAATGATCTACCTTGTGTGCAATTGAACCTGGATCCTCTGGAAGTACTCAACAACATTTTGTTCAATCATATTTTATATTAAGTATGATACCATGATTTTTCCAAACATTCCTTTTTCAATATATATGCACTTTTAATCTTACTACTGTAAATGCTTGTGAATATTTTCAAGTGTAGGAACTCATTTTGTAAGGCTATTTCCTCAGGTTACTTCAGCAGCATTAATGACAACTTTGGACTTAATGCAAAACTGCTTTTCAATGATGCTGCCATCATGAAACAACTCATTATTTAGTATACATTTTTCTAAAATGCATATTGTTTAATATATATTTCTATTTTAAGCAACATTCATCATTTCCTCAAAGACTTTAAAAATTATTATTCTGTTTTATTGTTTTTGGTATTTATGGACCTTTTGCCTGCATGTACATTTGTGCATCACTTGTGTCTAATTAGTGCCCACAGAGGCCAGAAGAAGGCAGTAGATTTTCTGGGACTGGAGTTATAGATGGTTGTAAGCCACCATGTATTGGGAATTGAACCTGGGTCCTCTGGAAGAGCAGCCAGTGCAATTAATCACCAAGCCATCTCTACAGTGCCCATTCAAAATATTTATCTTTCTAAGTAAACTTTATTCAAAGTCCTTTACATAAGGTTGTAAAAGTATGCCTTAACAACTACCTACCTACACCCTTATTTTTACATTTATTAATTGGAATACTACTGCAACGAAGAGATTTCCTTCCTTCATTAACTATGGATTCTTATTTAATAAGCTTAATAAACTATTACTACTAGTAGTTATTTCAGTGGTCAAACAACACCAGAGACAACTCTATATGTAAATATTTTTCTGTGTGAGAGTGTGTACATGTGTGTGTGTTGTATGCATGCTTATAGACCAGAGGTGGATGTCAGGGGTTCTGCTCTACCATTCCCTGCCTTATTACTTTGAGACAGGCTCTCTCAATAAACCTAGAGCTGGCTAACTCCAGATATCCTCCTGTCTCTGCTCCAAACAGTACTGATGCATACACTGGGATTTTGTGTGGGTATATGTGTGCTTGTAAAGACTATACAGAAAAGAAAATGTATTCAGAAGAAGGAGCAAGAAAATGAAAACAAAGGAGGATGTGTTTTTTTGTAGAACATGCTGAAATTTCTTGGCATGATGATAATATCCACATTGAGTGACCAGGAAAACCTGATATAATAAATGATCAATACAAATATTTTCTTGGATATTTTAATGCTTTGCAAATTACATGTAAATTTACATGGCAATCAATACCTAAGCTATCTAGAATTTATAGATGTGGTAAAATAAACAATAGTATTAAATAAAAGAAAATTTTTTTATTTTTCTTATATTTTATAAGTATTTTTTTAAAGATTTTATTTATTTATTTAAATTTAAATAATAAATTTAAAGATTTATTTATTTATTACATATACAGTAGATGGTTGTGAGCCACCATGTGGTTGCTGGGAATTGAACTCAGGACCCTTGGAAGAGCAGTCAGTGCTCCCAACCTCTGAGCCATCTCTCCAGCCCCAAAATTTTAAGTATTTTAAAATGTATATGTAGAGCATCTAAATATCTTTTTACTTATCAGACTCAAATTCTACATTACATTCTTTTTTTCAAATCACAGACTCAGAAACGTGTTTGGAGGTCAGAAGTCAAGATGACAAAATCCTAAAGAATTAAAGCTATTGTGCATCTAGGTGATTAGTACGTTTTCCAAAATATTCAAGTAATTTGAAGATGAATCATACCTAGTTTTAATCTTAACTTCTACTTGCATAAAGCCCAAGATGAATTGATAATACTTCTTTACTAACATGGCAAGTCCTGTTCTCAAGTCATATGACTCTTAGCCTAGTAGGAAAGTCATGGAAGTCAGTCCAAATTTAAAGCAGTTAACAGGAGCCAATTCAGAATCTAAGCGGCCTCAGGGTCACATGAGCTCTATGGAGACCTTTCGGTTTGTTTAGACTACATGAACATGGCAAATAGCAGCAGCACTTACCTTTCAGTGTGGCCTTCTTTAATACCTTCATGGCATAAAGCTGTCTAGCATCAGAGCCTGAGATTTTTTTAACTAAGAAAACCTATATTAAAATGACAGAAAATAAATGTTACAAAGACTCATAAACAATATTCCTTTAATACAGCAAGACCCCATTATATATACAAATATATTCTAAACACATTTTGTCCACAAGAACACAAGGCCCAGGATTATTACTTAGCATCTTCAATTTTCATATACTTGGGGATGTTATGAAGAGTGTGGGGTTTAGACAAAATACGTAAGATGTGCTTTAAATAATTCATAGCTGTGTTATAACATGGCTGATGCAAACAGTATCAGTACATCATATTCATTTTGACTATTACATTATTGACCGTTGCCACCAAGCCTTAAGAGACCTGCTAAGTAGACCTGAATTTGTGTGTGTTATTATATGATAGAGAAGGATGTTGGGTGCCCTGCTCTATCACTCTCTACTTTATTCTTTGAGATAGACCTTCTCACTGAACTTGGAACTATTTTGGTAATCAGCAAGTCCTAGCAATTTTCCTGTCTCTGCCCTCCACAGTGCTGGGGTCACAGGTGCCCAGGGCCAGCACATTTGGCTTTTTACATGGGTGTTTTGGATTTGAACTTAGGTGCTCTTACTTAGCAAGTCATCTCTCCAGCTTCTGGACCTGTATTTTAACATATTTCTCTTACCTATTCTTTCAAATAAAACAGTACCCACCCCCGCTTTTTCTTTTGTTTTTTGAGACTGGGTCTTACTCTGTATAGCCCAGGCTGCCCTGGAACTCACTATAATTTGCCTGCCTCAGCCTCCTAACTGCTGGGCATTATAGATGTAAGCCACCGTGCCTGAAGGAAAGCAGTGTTCTTGAGCTGCTACTGGGTAGGAAGAAGAGAAACAAATTACAACCAAGATTTAAGTTTAGGGTCAGCTTCAATTATCTGACTTATACACTTAATCCAATTAGCACAAAAATCCCAAAACAACTCGTCAATTGATTCTCAGGCAAGGCAGAATTTTACTGTTTTGAGAAATGGTAGAAATGAAAAGCACATCTCGCATCGGACCCCAGAGGGAGGATGTGCTCTCATGTAATTGTGTTCTCGGTTCTAGCATTAAGGCCCACTCAGTAGTTCTTTTAGTCAATTATGGGGAGATGACCTAGAAGGAGAAAACCTTTTTTTTTATTTTTTGAGACAGAGTTTCTCTGCATTGCTTTGGAGGCTGTCCTGGAACTCGCTCTTGTAGACCAAGTTGGTCTCGAATTCACAGAGATCTGCCTGCCTCTGCCTCCTAAGTGCTGGGATTAAATGCATGCACCATCACCGCCTAGCTTAATTTTCAGGTTTTTTTTTATTTTTGGTTTTCTTATTTTGGTTTCTCTGCATAACAGTCCTGGCTGTTCTAGAATTCTCTTTATAGACCAGGCTGGCCTCGAATTCAGAGAGATCTGCCTGCCTCTGCCTCTCAAATGCTGGGATTAAAGGCATGTGCCACCACCGTCCAAGAAAAACATTTTTAATAAGTGTGGTTCTAAGGTGAACTACTGTTCAAATGTTAAAGGTAGTCAGATATTAGTAATAATTATAACAAACAGAAAGAAATTCTAATTGGGTACAGGTAACTAGGAGATTGCCCTATCAATGTCATTATTCCATTGTAACAGGAAAATTTGTATGGCTTCTAAACTTGCTTCAGTTCTTTGAAAGCGCCTTGTTAATACTTTCAGCACTTCTTTCACAGTACCTTCAGAAGCACTTGCAATGTAGATCATGACAATCTGAGGATGCAGACCTACTAAACAATGCCAGTTTTATAGATGCCCAAATCAGGGTGTCACAGTGGGACAAGATCGGGGTCATATACCCAGTTCTGAGGCCCTGCTCATGGCATTCTTTAGCTGTTTGCTTAAGCCAGTGAGCTGCTGAGCTCAGTGACAGCAGCAGGAGTCCTCACTTGCCCACGCAGCTATTCTGGGCTCTGACAGGTCATCTCTGTTTCCTTGGCTTATACTGGCCTTTAAGGATGAGTAAGAAAGAAGACACCCTACTTTAATGTTTGCTATTTATAGTGAGGCACTTAAAGTACTTTTAAAGTAATAAAGGGAGAAGCATTCGAATTTCTTGAAATTTAAATATGTGTTCCCTGAAATCCAATGTATAAAAATAAACTCCTGTATTTGGGTTGGTTGAAGAGCAGGTAATACAGTAAATGTCGATATGTGTTTGGCCTTGTACCATTTAATTCTCACTACTATCCTATGAGGTCAGCACTATGACTCATTAATATTTTTCAAAATTACATGCTACGTACAATGCTAATCATGGAACCTTTAGTTTAGTGAGAGAGAAAGTCAATAAGCAATTTTACAAATGAGTAACTGCAACTGCAGTGAGTGCCATAAAGTAGAGGTATATAATGCTCCTAGGGGATATAACTAAGAGTTGTGACACGTAGAGTGGCAGGGGACTCTTCTGAGACCACAGGCACAAGAAGAGCTAACCAGCTGAAGAAAGCTTAGGAGCCAAAAAGGCCAATGGGGTCAGAATACAGTGTTGGATAATATATAAGTTGATGTTTTAGAGGTGGCTAGGGAGTCAGACTCAGGGGCTCCTCTGCAATTTTAAGAATTTGTTCTTATCATAAAAATAAAGGGAGGCTTCTGGTTCTCATGTACATAATTGAGGTTAAGAAATTGGGAAGACACTCTTAATAAGACTCTTTCAATAGACAGGATTTGGTGACAGATCATATCGGCTGGGGTGGTATGTAACATGAGGGTTAGAGGGAAGAGAGGAGGCAGCAGACCTAAAATAGATGTTAAGAATGTCTCCCCAGTTTCTGACTTGTTTAACTGGATGCTATTCACAGTGACAGAGAAAAATGAAATAGGATAGGTTTGAGGATGGAAAAGATTATGAATTTGGTCTTAGATACATCAAGCACAAAATAAAATGCCTTTGAGACATAAATGGAGGTGAGGACTAGCCATAGAAAGAGTTAGAATTAGGAAATACAAATATGTGATGTCAGCAGCATATGAGTAACAACGCAGGGACACAGAGAAAATCAATTAGTGAGGAGTACAAGGCGGTAGTTTAGAATTAAACCTCAAGTAACTCCCATATTTAATGACACACTAAAATAGGGAAACAGAGCTCTAAGAGATTAAGTAACAGTAATATGTAGAAAAAATGAAAATGAATTCAGTCTGGCTGACCTACAGTTTAAACTTATTTTATTTTTTTTGGGTGGGGGGTTAAACTTATAACTATTATGCTCTGCTAGCTATTGAGTCTACATTTGGATTAAAGGTATGCTCTGTGTTTAAAAGTGGTTAAACAACTATAACAAATTATCTGTATTAGTAAAGAGCTGCTAAGCAGCCTCACTAAATAAAATACACAAGTGAGAGCCACTTATACTATTTTGATGCTTACAGAGCATGACACCTTCCAATGTTTTCTCACAGAGAAGTGGTAAGGAAGTTATATGTAATCTCAGAATATTTTTCTTGTTGAGAATCTGTTTAGAAAAATCAAGTAGTAGCAGCTTGGGAAGTGGAAACCAGGACTGTTGGAAGTTTGAGGCTAGTGTGGCTAGAGGGAGACCCTGTCTTAAAACAACAATAACTGCAACAATAGGACAACAAAAAGAAGAGAGTATATGAAGGGGTTAGCTTGTGAGTTTTAATCATTTAAGAAGCATGAGAGCTGGAAATATAGTTTAGTGACAGTGTGCTTGCTCATCATGCCCTGAAGCCATCAGTCTAACCTCCCTGTCACAAAACAAAACAAACTAACCCATCTATATATCCACCCCAGCATCATGACAAGAAATGACAGTCTATAAGAGAAAAAAATGATTATGAACACTGTTAATTTACTAAGGTTTCTACTATAGTTCTGAATAATTCTATTCTTTTTATACTTTAATAGTAAAAAATATAAAAGAACATATTGCTGGAAGAAAGATTGGTAGCATTTCATACAATATTTGTTTTCCAATGTGATAAAACATCCATGAATTATAAAAATCAGTTCTTTTTTCTGGTTTTTCAGACAGGGTTTCTCTTTATTGTGTTGGAGGCTGTCCTGGAACTCGCTCTGTAGACCAGGCTGGCCTTGAACTCTGCCTCTGCCTCCCAAGTGCTGGGATTAAAGGCAAAAAATCAGTTCTTTTTTGAGACAGGTTCTTACTCTAGTGTAGTCTCACTCTAGGTTGGCCTACACTGGCTTCAAAATCTTAGCAATCATCCTGCTTTATCCTCCCAATTGCTGGGATTATAAGACCAAGATATTAACTCCTTTTAAATCTGAAGATGTGTAAACTTGTCTTTCGTTCCCCTTAACTTTTTTTTGAAATAAGATTCTCATGCAGCATAGGCTGACCTAAAACTCTCTATGATTCTTCTATCTCTACCCTTTGAGTGCTGGGATTAAAGGCTTGTGTCATTGGGTACTGTTTTCCTTGTAATTTTTTTTGGACAGTCTCTCTATGTAGTCCTAGCTGTTTTGGAACTCACTATTTAGACGAGGTTGGTCTCAATTTTACAGACATCCACCTGCTTCTGCCTCCTGAGTGCTGGGATTAAAGGCATACGCCACTATGCCAAGCTTCTTTGTAACTTTTTAATCTAAACCTTATGGCCTATCTCTTTCTTTAGAATACATATGTATATTTATTCTTTATAAAATATTTATTTTATTTTTTGAATTTACATGTATCTGTGTCTATAGATGTGAATGTGCCCACAGAGGTGAGAAGAATGTGTTAGAACCCTTTAAGCTAGTTGGAGTTACAGCTGGTTGTAAGCTGCCCTATATGGGTGCTGGGAATCGAAGTCTTATCTTTTGAAAGAGCAGCAAGCTCTTTCTTAATAACTGAATCATCTCTCCAGCCCCATCTATGTATATTTTAGTAGATATAACTATACATATTTATGGGAAATAATATGACAATTTGATAAATCTATGTAATGAATAATGGCCACATCTGAGTAATTAGTAATTTCGTATTTTTAAACATTTATAGCCAGTTGTGGTGGCACATGTCTATAATCCTAGGACTCAGGAGACTGAGGCAGGAGGGCTATGTAGCCTGCCTGAGCTACATAGTAAGATTCTATGCTCCCAAACATGTTAACTTTCCTTGTGCTGAGAAGCTCCAAATTTCTCTTCTAGTTCTTAATAAAATATGTAATAAATTGTTGTTATCTATAGTCATGCTATGCTATAGTACATTAGATCTTATTCCTTCTATGTATCTAATTTTGGTACCTGTTATCCAGCCTCCCTCTATTCCAAGCTTTGTGTGATTATCATTCTACTTTCTATGTTTAGATATAGACTTTGTATGTATAAACTTTGTTTAGAGCATACAATTATGACTTACCTTTCCAAATGATCCCTGCCCTAATACTTTCAAAAGCTCAAACTGGGAAGGATCTGCCTTTTCATGTCCTTCCTTCACATGATGTGTGATTGCAATTTCTTTGATACTGCCTTCTTCCTATTAAAATAAATAGAAAGAGACAAAACACATTGTTAGCCATAATCAAATAATCGTAATTTAGTATAGTATAGCATATTAGAAACTCTCAAATTAATATACAAAACTACTCTTTACTGGTTTATCAAGTTAATAGAAAACATACATCAAGTAATTATACTTTCCTTTTTAAAACGTTTATTTATTATATATACCGTATTCTGCCTGCATGTATGCCTGCAGTCAACAAGAGGGTACCAGATCTCATTACAGGTGGTTGTGAGCCACCATGTAGTTGCTGCAAACTGAACTCAGGAACTTTGGAAGAGCAGGCAGTGCTCTTAACCACTGAGCCATCTTTCCAGCCCTGTAATTATACTTTCAAGTTAAATATTAAAGAATGTTAAGCTTCTATAAGTTATTAGCAGTAATTATTTCCAAGGGGGGAGCTCTTGGACCCCAGACCGACAGCTGGGAGGCCAGCATGGGACTGATCCAGACCCCCTGAGTGTGACAGTCAGTGAGGAGGCCTGGGCAACCTATGGGGCCCTGGGCAGTAGATCAGTGTTTATCCCTGACATACAAATGGACCTCGTGTGTCCATAACACAAAGAGGGATGCTCTCTCAACCTGGACTCTTAGGGGGAGTGCCTGGACCCTGCCCTGAGCAAAATGACAGACTCTGGATATCCCCTATGTAGAAGGAAGTGGAGATAGGGTGGGAGGCTGGGGGGATTGTAGGGGATGCGGGAGGAGGGGAGGGAGAGGGAACTGGGATTGGCATGTGAAACAAGCTATTTAAAATTAAAGTAATAAAAAAGTTTAAAAAAAAGAAAATATATAACGTGTACATAGGATTTCAATTACCTATTTGTGTTGAGATAAAAAAGATTAATCAAGGCAATACTGTATGATATTGACAAAAACAGCAACAATAAAACAAAATATATCAAAATCAGAGGTACAAGTCTGTTAAACACTGTCATTTCTATTTTGTTGACTATGAATGTTGTTTTTTCCTAGATGCATAAATATTGGTAGAAGAGGCTGGGCGTTGGTGGCACACGCCTTTAATCCAAGCACTCAGGAGGCAGAGGCAGGTGGATCTCTGTGAGTTTGAGGCCAGCCTGGTCTACAGAGTGAGTGCCAGGATAGGCTCCAAAGCTACACAGAGAAAACCTGTCTCAAAAAAAACCCCAAAAAACAAACAAACAAACAAAAAAAACCCAAAAATGGTAGAAGAATCTAAAAGTGTTATACAAATATGTTTGTTTTTGGAGCTAGGGTCTCTTAGTGTAATTGAGGCTGGCCGTGATCCTCCTGATTCTCAGACTCCAGAGCACTAAGAGTATAGGCATGTGCCACCATACCTGGTTAGCATTTTCTCATATCCCCTTAAAGGCAGGCAAAAGCTCAATGGCAGAACACTTGCTTAACATGTGGGAAGGCCCAGGTTCAATCCCAGCACCATAAAAACCAACCAACCGACAAACTACCAAACAAGAATTATGCTGTACAGAGATTTCTCAAAAAGATACAACAAGATACCCTATTGTAATTTCTGAAAGTGAAAATAATCTCCTGGTAGGATATATAAAGGAATATAGCATTTTAGTTTCCAAGGCAGAGGCTGTGTGGTTCATAGAATAGCCTACTACTTCAGCAGATTACTCATTTTGGACTGTCTTAAAAATTTCACCACAATAACAAAAAATGTCTCCAAATGTTGTCATATATTGTGTAATTTCAAAAGTATCATTCCCTTAATTCTTCTGACAACTCTGTATGTGATGTATCACATCAACTGAGTTTAAGGTGCTACCTCTTCCTGAGCACACTTCTCCGAGACTGAGCAGATACATTAAGAAAAGCAGGAATTAAACTACTAAATAACAATAAGAAGAATGATATGAAGAGTGATAAATAAGATTTAGATGAAAATCCAGCCAATACTTACCTTGTATCAAGCATGCATTAGTTTCTTTTTTACCTTATACCCTGTATTTATGTTTCATGAAAAACCTTTGGCCTTTTATTAATGTTTTGAGGGCTGATGATAATACAGAGTAAATTCCCAGATGAGACACAAACATTTCAGAATTCTAGTGTGTTCCCCTTGACTCCTTTCACCACGAGAAATTTAATAGATCATTTAAAGTCAAAAGGCTTTGAATCCTCTGAAGTCTAAAGTTTAAAGAGATTAAATGAGGTTAAAGAGCATAGCCAGTATGCTGCAGACTCAGGACTCAATTCCAGTTTCCTAACTTCCAAAAAGGCCCACACAGTTACACTACTCTGAGGCTGGTAGATGTTCTTGGTGACTTTCCACCCAAGAACAATGACAGGAAACTACAGACTTATGCTCCTATGCTTTGTGGTCTTTGTTTTTGACACAGGGTATCACTATCAGTTTAAGATAGCCTTGAACTTCTGGTAAATCTCTTTGCCTTAGCCTCCTAAATTCTGTATTTACAGGCATGAGCCACTATGCTTGGCTGTAACTAGTCATCTATTTCTTGCTTCAGTTATCTCAGTAGTACATCCTTAGCAATAAAATGATCATCATAGAACCAGTATTTGTATGCTTAGTGGTTCATAAATTATATACACATAAAAGAAGTTCTTTCTTTTCCACACCCAAAGTGTCATCACATTGTATTTTAAAGACTAATGGGCTGCAAACTTGACTCATGGAGGCAAGTTCATTGATTAGATTTTAGCATGTACCATTTATATCCTTAAATCACATGGACAGGAAGAATTATATTCTTTAATAGTCTACATTTTATCATGTCTTTTTCTTGGGTAAGTGGGATATGATTCAACTCAGCTATAATATTTTTGCAACTTATAGTCTGCAGCAAATGCCTACATTGATGCCTTTCACAAGGATACAACATAAGCAAGGAGAAACAGTTTCTGAATTAAGCATTCAGCAGACTGTAGCAAGCAAAGAGGATCAAGGCTTACTGTTACAGTGTAGGCTACAATCAGGGAATGGATCTCAAAATAAACATCCATTACTATTCTCATCTTTGATGACTACCCCTCCTTTCCCCTCATGTCAATTAAGCCACTAAAAATGCAGGCCCTCTTTGATCTCTTCACTCAATAAATATATACTGAAATACCAGCTAGATATCAAGTACAGTGCTTAGAAAACCTTTTATCCTTTCTTCTTCCATTCCAATGGCATTATGCACATGTAACCCTTTAATCTTTCATGTAGAAAACTGAAACGGGTATGGTTCCACCTCACCCTGCCTATGTCTAGTTCATCTTCCTTGATTCAGAATCTATTTCAGGCTGACAAAGACAATTATATAATAAAGAAGTAGGTTGAAACTATATTGCAAAGGACCTCAAATGCCAGCATGAAGCAGTGCATTGAATTGGGGAGAACTTGAAGGCGTGTATGTGTATAAACATGTTCTTTTTTTTTTTTTTTTTGGTTTTTCCAGACAGGGTTTCTCTGTGGCTTTGGAGGCTGTCCTGGAACTCGCTTGGTAGTCCAGGCTGGTCTCGAACTCACAGGGATCCACCTGCCTCTGCCTCCCGAGTGCTGGGATTAAAGGCGTGCACCACCAACGCCCGGCTCAAACATGTTCTTTGTGTATATGTCTGTGCACCATGTGCATGCCTGGTGCCCATGGAGACCAGAAGAGGGTGTGTGATCCCATGGAACTTGAGATACAGATGTCTATGTGACACTATGAGGGTACTAGGAGAACCTGAATCCTCTGGAAATGTAGCTAGTATTCATAACCACTGAACCATCTCTCTTGCCTTAGATCTTCTTTTAAAAATGTATTTAACATATTGGTGGTAGTGGTGGTGGTGGTGGTGTGTGTGTGTTAGAAAGAACATGAAGAGCCGGGGCGCGTTATAGAGTGAGTTATCTCCTATTATGTTGTCCTTGGCACTGAACTCAGCCAGGATTGTTAACAAATGCCCTTACCCACTGAGGCATCTTACTGGACTTTATTATTCACTAATTTAGAGGTTTTTTGAGACATATATAACTTTGGCTGGCTTTATTTTTCTGAAACTCCACACTAATGATGTAAGTCAGAGTCTACTTTTTCTCAGAATAATAGGTGCTTAGATAATTTTATCGTCTATGAATTCTTTATCTCTAAGGGGAATTCTAATATTTAATAATTTTGTTCCAATCATTTTTTCAGGGCTTCTATTTTTACAACTTCCCTTTGGGTTGATATGGAATTATATATATTTAAACTCTTATGCCTGTACTTTCTGAGAAATTTTCTTGACTATCTTCCCACTTTGATATTGATCTTTTTTGAGGCAGGATTTCTCTGTGTAGCTCTGGCTGTCCTGGAACTCACTCTGTAGACCAGGCTGGCCTCAAAATCACAGAGATCCACCTGCCTCTGCATCCCAAGTGTTGGGATTAAAGGTGTGCGCCACCACTGCCTGGCTTGAATTTTTTCCTGAGATAAGTCTCACTTTGTAGCACAAACAGATCTTGATCTTGAACTAATGCTCCTACGTGAGCCTTCCAGTGCTGGGATTACTGCTCTGCACCATCACGTCTTGTTTCATGTGGTAGCCCTATCGTAGTGTACATTAAGTGACACATGATTACTTTTGTCACCACAAAATATCCTTATGTTATATACCTAAAACTGTTATAAATTCTCTAATGATATTTTTACGAAGTCTGTTTATTTGTTAAGCAAAGATTTTTTAATCTACAACACAATTTTACATCATTCTTTTAAACTCCCCTGACATTTGTCACACCTCATACTAGTATTAAAGGCCACCAGGTTCATTCTCAGTCTTTAAAGCAAGTGGAGAAAAGGTTTCCTTTCTAAGCCAGGCATGGTGGTCACACCTTTAATCTTGGCACTGGGAGGCAGAGGCAGACAGAGCTATAAAGCAAGTATACAAAGACTGATCTACAAATCAAGTTCCAGGACCACCAGGGCTATACAGGGAAACCCTGTCTCAGAAAGAATTCTTTTAAGTCACAAGAGGAAAATGTAACAGTGACC